CTTACCAGTGAGGTTCCTCAGATGGCAAACGAGCAGTGAGTAGGGTCCAGTGAAGGGGATGGCCTGGGTCTGTTTCACTGTGCTCATGGCCAGCTCTGTGTATGCTGCAAAACAAACACATCGGATCACTACATGATGCCTTGCTTCTTCGTCCAGTATTGTTTACAGTCTTGTTTCAACAGTTACTTTATCACTTTATTTTTGTATTATTATCAACATTTTTATTCTATTTTATCTTTATTGTTTACCTTGTGTGAATCCTGTTTTTCACTCTGACCCTGTTGCTGCTATAGTCGCCTGAATTTCCCCACAGGGATAAATAAAGTTCCATCTTATCTTAACAAAAAGGGCAGCGGTTTGCACAACTGAGTAGAGAGATGGCAGAAACACAAAAAGCCTTAGGGGCCAAAGAAAATGGAAAGAAAATGATCAATAGTACTTAGATTAAATGTCTCAAATGTTATTCTTGGATAATATGAGTTGCAAATATAAAAAATAAATATCACACATGCATTTTAAAAGGCCCATTATAGCACAAAGTACCTATTTTTAATTTTTGTTGTCCCATAAGTCAACACATTTCTTTTACCCTCTCTGACTGAGATTCTCAAATGTATCGTAGCCAATGAAGTGATTCTCCTGGGGCTGACTACCAACGCACAGACGCTGCATCCTGCATGGGGGACAGTTTGTACTAAAATACTTACTGGAGAGGTCTGAGGGATTGAGGATGTGGTAGTTGAAGTTCTTTTTCACCAGTATGCCCGACACTCTCTGGCCTTGAACACACTTTTCATCAGCCAGGGAGCCCATCACCTGAAGGACAAGCAATGTAACACAAGTATTAAACACTTCTAAGCCAAAAGAAGTCCAGAGTGACTTTAGAACAGGAAATCTCCAATTAAACAGTCTCAGGGATAGAGAAAAAGTGAAAGGTGTATTGACCTTGGCCAGCTTCTCTCCTCTGAAGTTGAGGGTGACAGCTTCTGTGTTTCGAGGGTTGTGGACTTCGATGTGAACCTGGTCGTTGTCCTCGCACTCCCTGATCAGGGCAGCCTTCAGACGGGCCATCTCATTCTGCTCCCTGTGGACCAGGATCTGTCGATAAGATGTAGACAGAGGGTAAGGATTTTCATTACAACTGATACAACTCAAGGGTACAGACAAAAGAGAGAATTGGAACACAAATCAATGTGCCTCATTCAGCACTCACCGTTCCTAAGAAGAAAAGTATTTCTGAAACCCACTTAGGAGTTTTCACAAACATCCTGGCTTTGACCACTGTTTCTTATTTCTAATCTACATACACTCAAAGCACACTTTTGCAACTGTCTGCAATTTAAGAACACATCCCGAATCTGACATTGACTTATCTTAGGTCCTTTCTTTATAACACATTTAAAAACCGACTCAGGAAGATATTGGTAAATTAGCTAGTTTATTTGAGCTCCTCCTACCACATGTGGTGGTTTGAGGGCCCTGATGAACTCGCTGGTCTGCTGGTAGTCAGTGTGGGCGGAGAAAGAGATGTAGTCCACCGACATCTTCAGCTGCAGCTTCTGCCCCGACATGGTGGTGATCTCCTCGGGCTCAGACATGATGTGCTGCAGAGAGCACAAAACACACCACAGTTAGCAGCTGCAATTATACAATCATTATTTCAACAAGCACATCTGATTTGAGTTCATTTGAATAAAAATGTATATAAATGATGTCGCTTTCACCCAATAAACTAGTTATACCTGTCTATAATGCATGCAGCCACTATGGTTTCTTAATTTTAAAGAATTTTCCCTTTTCTTAAATTATGATTACTATTAATTCATGTTTTTATGTTAATTCCAAGTCTACAACCCTTATTTTAAATCACTTCGTGCTGCATTTCTTGTATGAAAGGGGCTCTAAAAATAAGGTTTATTAATATTATTATGACAGATCTGCCTGACCTTGGCCAGTGTGCCCTCTACACAGTATCCAGCGATGATGACTCCGTTCCTCTCGTCAGTGCACCAGCTCTCAAACAGCTCTCTGGAGAGCCCGCTCTGCATCATACCCGGAGACGCCATCACCACGCTGGGGCCGATGTCATCGAAGTGATCCATGCTCTGGAAAAACACAGACACCACGTTTACAGATATTCAGCAGCAGCCCAAAGATAAAACAGCCTGTATCTGTTTGGCTCTCTACCTTGAGGTTGCTGATGTGCTTGAAGACAAAAGGGTTGTTGATATTGATGGCCTTGCGGATCTTGTCGTTCATTGCGTTGACGTACGTCTGGTACACGGCCATGCACTTCTTGGCCAGGGATGAAGCGTAGTAGATGGGGATGTCATGGAGCGTGGTAGGTGGTTCTGTACTCATCTACAGGAGAACATGAGACACAATCTTACAAATTGAGATGCAACAGAAGAAAATAAAGTGTAATACAATGGAAATATTAAGCAAATCAGGATAAAGGGTCTTTCATGACAGTTTAGAGTACGGTATGTCACCTTCTGCAATAAACACATCTCGAAAAACGGTTGATATATCAAAAAATATGTTTTATGAGAAGGATACTACACCTTAAAAGTAATTTTGTGTCCATAAAAGAATGTTGGAAATAATTTCCTTAAATCATTTTTGAAATTCAACAAGCAAGTTTATTTTATTACAGAAATAATAGGAAATCTTATCTGTTTATTTATCCCAAGTATTAACAATCCGCCCTAGCAGAGAGGTTAACTATGTTGTTTGAATTTGGAGGCACAATTTAGATCAGGGAGTCCCTCTTGACTTCTCACCCAGGATGAGCAGCAGCTCCTGGGCCCGGCCCAAAGCGAACGCAGGGATTAAACAGCGGCCTTCTCTGTTGACAATGTCACGGACTGTGTTACAGAACCGAGCCTCGCGCTCCTCCCTCTTCTCATGGATGTGCGTGCCATAGGTTGACTCCTGCAGAAAGAACAACATGGATGCACTTTCCAAGATTTGATCAGCTAAACATCCATTAAAATTGTGTTCAATGTGAATTATTACGCTGCATACTATGATTAGGATGTCCGGTTTGACACTGGGGATCTCCGCTGCCATCAGATGCCTGTCTTCCTGTCGGGAGAAGTCTCCTGTGTACAGCAGCTTTTGTAGGAAAAAACACACAAATAATTTGTGAAGTGAACCTATTTTGTATAAATGAACAGAACTCTGTTTAAAGCAAAACAGAAGTAGTTACCTTGACTCCGGCTATTTCGATCATGAACATGGCGGCTCCCAGCACATGGCCAGCGTGGTGGCACCAGAACTTTATTCCAGCCACCTCCTTCACCTCGTGGAAGTTGATGGTCTCAATCTTATCCATGCTCTCCTCCAGGTCAGTCTCAGTGTACAGCATGTCATCTGCAGAAATGTTGCTGCAAAGAAAACAAATAACTTAATGGTTATACATATAAATAATTTGTAAATATGTTCCATATCGACAATTGCTGTTGCTTCTACCTGACTTTGACGTAGTCCGACAGTAGCCAGCCTTAGTGGCGTGGGTCATGAAGGTCCTGCCTTTAAAGCTGGTCTTCTGGAGGAACCAGGGCAGAGCTCCACAGTGATCCAAGTGGAAACTGGTGGGAGGATACATACATCAAAATGACATTGTTTTAGAATAAAATCAAAATGACACAAGCAGGAGATGCCACAGTAAGGAAATAAGCATTTAAGGTTGAAAATATACATTTAACACACAAAAGAGAGAAGGGAAGACTCACTGGCTGATGAGCAGCAGGTCTATCTCAGCCGGGTCGATCAAGTCTATGTACGGGAGAGCATCCATTCCCTCCAAGCCAGGGTGGATACCACAGTCCAGCTGCAAAACACAAATATTAGTGTCTACAGAGAGAACATTTCTTTAGATCCTAGGACATATCAAGATACCAAAAAAGAAGACAGGTTAGAATTGTACTTCTCTAGTCTATAAACTATAATAACCACAAAGGTACTTGTGTCACGCAATCGTTTGCTAACATTACAAATAATTTGGTATTGAAGATCTCATTATTTTTTATAAATCAGTGTGCCTTAGTATGTTTTGGTCACTATGACTTGGTTACAAAGCTAAGTACAAGTCTAACTTCTCTCTGGTTGCCCTCACAAATATTACTGTATTTATTTCACCAAGGACAATGTGTCAACCTTTATATATACAGTCTATGGTGTCAACACTGCTTTCCATGAATCATCGGCACACAACTAACACAGGACTCAATAAAGCAACAATACAATAATTAAAACATATACAATAATAACAACAGTGAGTCAGTCTGCACAAAGTAAGAACATATAATTGCACATCCTATATTCCAGCTCTATAATAAAGATGTGTCTCTAACCTATTCACTCACAATATAATATTTACCATCATTTTCCTTCCTTTGAACTCCAGAATGATGCATGATCTCCCAACCTCCTGACCAGCACCCCTGTAGTTACATACAATAAAATAGAGGTTAAACTAACATAATATTTATTTCATGTCATACTGGTTAAATAAAGAGGCAGGCGTACAACACCTTTATTGATTTAAAAAAAAATGAACCTATATGAACTCACAGTGGACGAATTAGGAGCTGGTCGCTCTCCTCTGCGGGAACAATCACCTCTACTTTGCGTTTTGTCGCCATGCAAAATGTTGCAGGACAGTTTAAAATATAGAAGTGATAAATGCGTTCATACTGTGCTGCACTGTTTATAAATGAGGGGAGGTGACGTCACAGTTCCGGTGGTGTGTCAAAATACAGCCGACGAGAATTCAGAAGCAGCAGAAGTTCCGGGACAGCCGTTAGCCGGTTTTTGCCGTAACGAATATAAATTAACAAAATGATTACATTTTACAAACAGTTACGTTCATCATAAATATAGTATATAAAAACACTTTCTCCAAACTCACAAAATGTGTTATAAACATGGCTTTCGGCTACATTTTCTGTCTTAGATGTACTTTGTTGGAACTTCGTCGCGTCCCCTTTAAGTGGTGTTGGGTGTAGGCTGTGAAACTCAAAGGGAAGCTAAAGAGTCAAACTGAAGGTTCTACTTTGAAGAAATTAAAACTGAGAAGTTACGATATAAACAGGTATTCATTGTGTAGCGAGCTCTATTTAAGATGTTACGTGTGTCATTGCCAACCACCTGTGAATCCTTTTCAACTTCAGTGTGAAAATGACTGCGGTGGGGGACATTTAAGGTGGAGTAGGATGAGTTTCATGCATGTATAATATACAGTATCATTAACGAGCAATGTATTATTTGGAGCATGCAAGTAAGGTTGCTAGATAAATGATGCGTTCAAGTCAAACGTAACCTGTTGATTGTATTGTCTGGTGTGACATATGAGTCGTTGGGGTCTCTGTTGTAAATAGTTTATGCCCCCCAAGCCCAACCTCTCCCCCCGGTGTGGATACCCTCTGACTCCATCAATAGGACCTGCAATAGTATTTCACTCAGACATGATGGAGAATGGGGAGACGTTTTTTTTACAGTAGCAGGTGTAACACTTAAAATGGTTTCCAATTTAACTGGTGCCACTTTTCACAATACCTCTAAAGCAGTATTACTAGTTTTAATACATTTCAGCCTCAAAGTTAGATAAATAATAATATTTGAATAAACATAGCTGACATTCACTCAGTATTACAAGCACAACAAAAATACTATGTATTACACTGTATTATTCCCATATTAATGTTTAAATCTACAGAACATTCAACTGTACAACAGATAGAGGTCAGAGATGGTCATACCTATATTAATAATTATTGAAACCATTTAAAAATGAGTGTATGGCACAATAAAAAGGTGAAGCGTCAACCTCAATTTTTGGTTTTGGAAGTCAATTTAGACGCAATGTTAACAAAATATATATATTTTGAGGACAATGCTGTTTTTGAAATGGATTGATATCAAACTTTAGCAGGAGATCCTTAAAAGCTATTGGATGCACATTTTTATTTATCAATTCCTTGCAAACCAATCTGTAATGAATGCGTTGTGTTGATCTCAGGTTTGTCCTTTAAAAGAGATCTTGATTTTAATGAGACGTCCTAAATAAATTCATCTTTAGTAACTAACACTCCTATAATGTGAATACATTTGCAGCTGTTACAGTAACTATGAAACCATGCAAAGGATAGCTGAAGGATCATTATGTAGCTGAAGGTCCACCATTAATTATTCAGAATTTAGACCTCATTCAATTATTCATCATGTCTATTGAGACGTGAGAAGGCAGTCCTGTGTTTAACGTGGCCGTCTGTGATGACTCAGGTTTTGGAGAGGCTGGAGGGCTGGATGCTGTCGTCATGGTGAAGGATGTTCCGGAAAGTCAAAAAGCGGCACAGTAGCAGCAGCTCGCAAAGCAGTGAGATCAGCACCAAAAGCAAAGTAAGCAAACGTACACACACACACACACACACACACACACACACACACACACACACACACACACACACACACACACACACACACACACACACACACACACACACACACGTGTTACAGGAGAGCCACTTTCCTCTTGTTGAGCAACCCCCCCCCTCTTGTTTCCAATTCATGTAGTCTGTGGACTCCAGTTTGGGGGGGCTCTCCAGATCCAGCACCGTCGCCAGCCTCGACACCGACTCCACCAAGAGCTCAGGTCAGCTTTCTATGCCTTTTTTTTTCTGAATGAGTTTTTTATGTATGTATACAGAGACCATATATTTTACTATATTTTTTTAATGTTATTATAGTTTTCTTAAAATAGTTTTCTATCTGTGTTTTTATTTATTTTTTATTTTGATGTATGCACCACAACACCAAGTCAAATTCCTCGTATGTGTTAACCTACCTGGTAATAAACCTGTTTATGATTCTGATTCTATAAATGTTGTATTAATTAACACTTAATTTGTTGTATGATTTCAATTTGCTTTATGTTTCATTTATATGTAGTCCAGTCAACTGCTTTTATTTGGGAGCAATTTGTTTGAATATAACCAAAACTGATCAATAACTGTTTATGAATTATATGTATTGCCAATAACAGAATCAATGACATTTTCAATCAGTTTTTTTTACCCGAATTATCCAAAGATGCAGCTTATGGTATGGCTGCACAATATGAGGAAAATATGTTTTATAAAAATCAAGTTAAATTAAAACCTATATTAAGATGTAAAACTTAAACACTAAAGGTTTACATTTAGTCCTAGTCAAGTGTTTAATCTTAAAGGAAATGTTATTTACCCTCCGTAGGTAACAGCACGTCTGAAACATGCGCTGAGTTCAGGGTGAAGTATCTCGGAGCCATTGAGAGGTTACAGTTTGACATGAGCAAGTCCCTGCAGGAGCCTCTGGACCTCATCAACTATATTGATGCTGCTCAGGTAAAAAGCTGAAGGCCACACACTTTGAGAAGGTGTATAGCAGTCGATATCACATCTTTCATTTATGAAGACGCCATAAATACTCTGCTCCTTTCACAGCAAGATGGAAAGCTGCCCTTTGTGCCCGGAGACGAAGAGATGATACTGGGAGTGTCGAGGTACGGAGTGAAGGTGGCCTCTCTGGACCAGTGTGTGAGTAGAAACCAACTTTTAAAACGTAACTTTAATTAAATGATCATTGACTCTGCAATATTTCTGCTTCATTGATACACCCAAACAGCATGTTTTTATAATGAAGCATCAATTTATATTATGGAGATGATAATGCGCAAAGCCGCTGACTCTGGCAGTTCCCTGGATCTTTGGAATCTGGTATATTGCTGCACTTCAACATCACTTATTTGACACTAATGTTTTAAAAATATTAAAAACATTGCTCTCAAATATTTTGATGAAACTATATTATCACAAACTGTTAAAGAAAAGAAAAGGTTCTAAGTCAAATAAAACCGAAAAATTGAGAAAGGTTAAGGATATGTTTGTAACAGAATGGTCTATTAAAAATGGTCAACTCACGGAAATCATCACATTCATTAATTTCCTTTACAATACTGACAATGGTAGAGAAATTATTTAGTTTTATATAAAAAAGCTACTATAAATCTACTATGAACAGCAGGTAATACGGTATTTTATCCTGTTAGCCCAATTACTGAATTCTGCTTGCAGCTTTACCTACTATTGATAACCTTATTTCTAAAAGTCTTGTAGTATAGGTGGTTCAGGCTGTAACCACGTTTTTGTTATATTTGTTTTATTTGCAGCGAAAATATTTGAAAACACATGCTTATTCCTTACAAAGATGACATGTTTAACAGAGATTTAGTTAGCTTTCTTAACCACATATTACAAATCAAGAAATGTTTGCTTGCACGAGTGGGTAATAATACACTTTAATTGGTTCCTCGGGTCCAGGACGTGCTGCACCGCCACCCTCTGTTCCTGATCGTGCGCATGCTGTGTTACGATGACGGCCTCGGAGCGGGGAAGAACCTCCTGGCTCTGAAAACCACGGACTCAGAGCAGAAGGAGTGCAGCATCTGGGTGTACCAGTGCAGCAGCTCGGTGAGTGTGGCAGAGAATAAAATGAAACTGTTTTCTGGACTATGTATTTCCCCGCCTGTTACCGATCCTCTGTCTGAACAGGAGCAGGCGCAGTCCGTCTGCAAGGTGCTGTCGGCCTCCTTCGACTGCGCGCTGACCTCTGACAAGTCCTGAGAGAAGAGGGAAGAAACATCTGCAAAACACGAGTTAATCACAAGACTGCCAAAATATATGCAACCATTTCCCTTTTCTTCCCTACGCTGCTTTGTTTGCTTTTAAAGAGATTATCTGGAGCACAAATCTGGTGTGTTTGAGTTGATTCAAGCCTTTTTGATGATGGAAAGTTTGTGATCCTTTTCAAATATGGAAGAATCACTTCACGCTTAGTTTGCTATACACACCTTCATTTTATCACAATTTGTTAGCCTTTTTTTTTTAAACCTTTCCGGAAATCAAGATAAAAAATGGAAACTTTAGGAAAAAAAGGAAATGGTTGCATTTAAAAATAATAATTTTAATGCAGTGAACAATGTGAATTAATATAATTTGATGTAAATGATGATAGAAAGTGGTACATCTATGCGGTAAACGGTACAATCATTTGACAACGTGCACATTTTGTTTCAGTTTGAATTCACTCAGAACTCTTTCAGTTTAGATCTGCTTTTGTGTGTTTTGTCGTGTTTTTTGACAGTATTGGTACAGTAGCAGTCACTTTTTGACTCACGGGTACAAAGTGAGAGTGTGTGAGAGGAGTCTTACCTCTTTTATTTGTGGGATTTGCTCATTTTTAATGACTGTTCTTATTGTATCTTACCAAAGCTTGATTTTATTTGGATTTGTTAACTGCTTGTTGTAATGTAGTGAATAAAAATGCGTACATTTCTTTGGACTTGCTTGCACCAGATAAATCCTAAAAGGCTGTTAGAAGCTCATAAAAGATTTAGGAAGAAAACATGTTTACAGTTGTGGTACTTACTTGACTTCACCTTGTACATAATAATAGCCAATCCCCCCTTTACCCTTTGATTTGGTATAAAGGAGTGGATAGTTTTTATTTTTGACTGAATAAAGTGTTATTTCTCCTTATTCCTTCAGTGTCATCTTTTCTTAATGAGTGTGTGTAATGTTTCATCTTTGTTTTAATTATAAATAACTGCAGTATTTTCCTGAGGGCCCATACATATCACAATGTATGTTTTTACACTGCAGTGTTTTCTGAACCCTGGATAGACATGCTAAAATAATGCCCATCAGAGGGAGCTCTTGGTCCATCTGACTTTTATTGGACAATCACACAACTCAAATGGTGTTCAACTTCTAAAATGTACGTCCGTTACTTTAAAAATGTTTTATTGGGAGTGAAACGTCAATAAATAAAGGATGTGGTGTGAGCCAAAATTCAGTATATGTAGGCATTATTTACTCAAACTGGTCAACTCCTTAAGAAAGAAACCAAAGCCTTGTGTTATTTAATATTTTATTATTCCAGTTTCATTTCCCCACTTACTTGCACAATGGAGTTAAAAGTCGATGCAGTGATCCACAGACAGTAAATGAGAACGAATGAAGTTTATTTTCCCAGTAATGTGTGTGTGTATTTGTGTTTTCAGCACACACACAGGTCCAGCTGAGGTTGTATCTGTAACTGCTCGTCACCTCAGCACATTAAAATACATTTACTGCCCAGCTAACTCTTGTTTTTTTACATATAAATATCAACATAATCAAATCTATTTACATGAATAGATTATTAAATCTTCCTGTTTCCAGTGAGTTCATATTAAACATGAAGAAGAGAGTGCATCAGCTACCAATCACACGCTCTCCTCTCGTCATTCACAAACCAACAGAAGGCTCTGGGTTCAGGTTAAACGCCTAAAATATCAACATTATGAACAGAGAGAAAGTTGCTCTGCAACCAAAATGAAGTTAATTACATTGTCTTTTTCATATTTATTTCACAACACTATAGATAAACCCATATTCCTACATTATTGGACCCCAGAGATGTACACACATGAGGTTTAAGCTGTAGGAAGGATATTCTCTCTCAGTATAAAGTCAAAGATAGAGACAGACTGCGGCTCATTTGTGGACAAAGGCGGGAGGAAGTAAATAGTCAGAGAGCTAACTCCTGCTTTTGATCCCACTTCCACACTCTCCATCATATCCTCTTATTTCCAAATGCTTTCACTCTGAGCAGACGAAGACACGCACACACAACCACTTCCTGTTCCTATAATAAGGCAGATGACAGCCGAGGTGTCAGACTCGGCACAAAAGTAATTACTGGCGATTCCAGTGAGTGTCAGTAATGGACCTAAAACATCACAGCAGGAAGTGTTGAATATTATCCTCTCAGGTGAAACCGCAATGTGTGGAAAAGCTGCTCCATCACACATTCACACCGGGGTAAGATGAAAAGCTTCTGCTAGGTGTGAGTCAGAGGCTATTTTTACATCATTTTAGCCCCTTTTCAACGCTGGTCTGTCTTTGAAACGGGGACAGGGGAGCGCTCCTTAGGGTGCAGCTTCTGGTATATTATGCGGTTTACTTAGCACCATTAGAAAGACCTCCACACTGCTACAGAATTTAAAGGTCACACCTATACGCAGGAAGGCATCTAAAATGGCTCATGCACAGGGGTGGAATGTAAGCATGTTGATCACATTTACAGTTGTTGGAAAGTTAAAATACATCGCTGTAGTCTTCTCATCTGAACAGATATGGATTAAATCAATACTGTACATATTAACCTTCATCATGTCACATGTCGTCTTATGTTGTCACGAGGATAAAGACAAGCAAAGTGCATTTATTGCGAGAGGTCATTCACTACAATCATTGTTTTGTTTTTTAAAGAGTCTTTTTTTAGAAACATTAACAGCAAGCGTCTAAAACCACAAACAGTCCCATGACTTTCTGTCTGTTGCAGCAGAGGTGGCGATACAGCAGTGACACTTTAAGAAGCTCGCTGATGAAGACAACAAAGACTGGGACGATGGAGGATGTTGTGCGGACTGGCCGGGCAGAGACGGGCGGAGGAGGGACGCTGCATCCGGCGACACTTCCTGAGACCCGGAGAGGAAGCTTTCAGTCAGCGATGAAGTGAACGAATGTCACCGGGAAGGCTCCTCTTCTCATCGGATCGCCTTCGATGTGGCCCAACTGGAGAGAGGGAAGACAGGAGGGACGTCAGAGGATTATCAAAGCCAGCGAAGAAGACTCACAACACTTTAAGACGTGTAGTCAGGTTACATCTACTGGGGGAGGCAAACTCTGATTGTGAAAACTAGAGCATATGACTGCTTTCAACAACAAAAAAGGTCACGTAGGGCACAAACATCAGGGCTGTACCGAACAGATTAAAGCTTCCTTCATAACTTTGATAGCTTTTCTTTCATCAACATTTTACTGCGGTCAAAAATCTGTATTGCTTGGGGAGCTAGCAGTAATGTAAAAATAATCTATTTTTTCCCCCATTTTTTTGCGTGATGACCTTAAATGTGAAGACATACATTGAAAGCATTCAAATAGACTTTAAGAAGCTTGAATGAAATTCGGTACAGCCCTGTCTACCACACTGCAACACCAATAAACACAAGGGCTAGGTTACAACATATTTAGAAGTTCAATATCGATACTTAAAAAACAATACTGATGTACACTTAACATTATGCAGCGACTTGTTACTAAAAATCAATGTAGTGTACAATAGTGTAAGTAATGTAATATATTCATTTATACAGACATTTTCAGTTTAAATGACAAAAATTGTAATTTAAAAAACAATAAGGATTTCTAGGTCTAATAACATGTATTGCAATAATGATTCAGGAGAACATGAACTAACATCTATCCTTACTGGTCATCATCTAATGGAGCACACATAGTGGACTATGGGAGGCTAAAACACAATTAAGCTAATTCATATTTAAAAAAGGCATTTCCATATTATATTACCTTGGCTGATAAAGAAGAAAGTACTAATCATGTCCATTTAAGTCATTTTAAACGTCTTCTATACCTGAAAATAAAAAGCTAGTACATGTTTCTGCTCCATCAATGTGTACACAAGGCTAGAGGCGAACCATGACAAGCAAATGAAGAAATAAATACAGAACAATTATCAATTTAGTTGGTACTAGAAACTTGTGATGTAAACAAATTGCACTTCACGTATTTCACTTCTCTTTTGAAATAATGTTATGCTCAGTTTTTAAATGAAACTTTGAAGCATCCATCAATGATGTTGTCAATCTAATTTCAGTCTCAAAAAAAGCACCCCCAGTCACACTCACTGCAGCTGATTTCATTTCTTCCTGCTGCCTGGTTGATATTCGATATTTCAGCCACACAAAGAGTGATAATGCAGGACAGAGAGGAACCATTGGGGGTCCTCGGGGGACTTTAGGGTCCACGCAGAGAGGGAGAGTGACTAAATACGGTCATATCTGCAGAGGTGGCTCAGAGGAAAACAAGTTGCAGCTGGTCGATGCTACACAAGGGGCTCCACAGAGGAAGCAGCGGCAGGCGGAAAAAGAGGGGGGGGGGGGGGTGGTATCAGCCTGCATGAGGTCATGGCTTTTTGCACCATGGTAACCGAGTGCACTGACATCCACAGGGTGAAAATGGGACCAGAGTTCGACATGAGTTCGCCTGGGAGCGCTTTGTGATTTAATCTGAGAACAAGTATCCAACATTTTTGAAAACACAAAGCTATTCAGTTCATCAGCGTGAGATACTGACCCACCACTCCTGGTCCTCCTCTCCGTCCACGATGATCACCTCGCCCTCGGAGAAGGTCAGCTCGTCCGGGTTGTCAGCGATACAGTTATAGATGGTTTTCACTCGCTTCGGCCTCTGCTTCTGACAGAACAAAAAGGGTTTGTTCAAGTTGGTGAAGAAGAGAGAGAACACAGTCTCCCGTGTATGCTGTCTCATGTTGCCTATTTTGTCTGGATCAAAATATTGTGATGTTTGAGGTTGATTTTCCTTTTAAGAGTTCAGGGTCTAATGACAGTGGGTGTTGTATACTGTATTTATTCTAAAGCCCTGAGAGGCCAATTTGGGATTTTCGGCTCTAAAGGCTGAATGGGCAAAACATTTAGTCTTTTGTAAAATAAAGGGACTTCTTGTCATTAAGTGGGCACCTCTTCAGTCATCATTAGTCAATATAATGAATAAAACACACCAATTAGACGTGAGATCTGACATTAATAGAAAGAAAACTCCACAAATCACTTCCTCCGTCCATTTCAACAAAACTAGATGGACATCTCTCTACAGTTATATGACACCTTCAAGATTTTTTTATTAACTAGACATCTATGGTGTGTGTATTTTGTTCCGTTTCAGTATGTTTTTTGCCCGTCTGAGCAAATAATAAAGGTTAATGTGATTTCCAATTATTTTTGAACAAAGGACTGTTGTTGAAAATTGCCTGGAGTTAACAGATATTAGAGCTTTCAAACTGTTGATTCATCCAGTCACAACATGTAATAAGTGCTCTCAGACGGGAATAGAATAACAAAGAAAAATGCTATAATCCTAAGATTCACCAATGAATGACACATTTATAGAAATGTTGTTATTCTTAACTGAAAGCTGTAAAGCTAGAAATCAACCGCCTGTTCCACATTAAAAAATCTCAAGGAGAGCTCAACAGCTTCTCTACAAAAACTGAGAAAGAGCTCTTTGCCTTTCAGAGAACAAGAGGGGAAATGACTGCTTGAGTAGGAAATGAAACTACTGAATAACGGGATGAGTAATTACTTGGAAAATCAGCAGCCAGTGAATCTGTACAACAGATGAATGAATAAGCACTTAACAGTCCACAATATGTTGATGACAGTAAGAGGAGGAATGAGACTCACTGGGTAGGCCTTCCTCTGCGTGGGGGCCGCAGGCAGACACTGACCCATGGAGTTCGGGGGGCATCCTGGCACTTCCTTAGCTGGAACAGGAAGAGGAAATTATATCACAACGACAACAACACTTTCCACGTTTCCACAGGGCAAAGCGGATCTCACAGATAGTAGAACAATGTGAATGCAGCGTTCTGTACACTGGACAAACACAGATTCAACAGCATGGATATTTTGTGTCTCTTATCGGCATGCTCACCCGGTCTTTCGATAGAAACACTTCGATTCAGGGGTCTGCTGTAGCTTTTATCATTGCTGTAAAACAAAACAGGAATGAACTCATCAACAAAGTAATAGTTATATGAAGACACACAGCTCAGCTCTAACTGCTCTTCAGCTCTGTTGCAGATTGATGGCAGCACTATCAGCCGGTGGGAGACCCAGCGACAGCAGGGCGACTGTGGAGGAGAGTTATTGCTCGCTGCAGAGCCGGGAAGCTAATGAAGCGGCTAAACAGCAGCCCCGTCGGCTCATTCTTCTCAGGAAACAAACACAACAATAAAGACACGCATTCAACAGCAAGATACACAACCCTGGAGTCCAGCACCGTGTCCCTGTGTGTGTGTGTGGAGAGTTATAGCAATCTGTGTAGCTAATTTAGCTCCACTGGGCTACGACCGCAGACTCAAAGCAAGGTGTACTTCACTCACACAATAAGCACATTTATGTCAATTATTCACTCTGTTTTAAACTGAATTCTTGAAGCAAACTTGATATTTCATGCATGCCTCCACAGTAAATTGAAAATGAAAAATAAATCTAAAAAATAATCAAGTTTTCATTCAAGAATTGAAGCTAACAATGGGTGAGAAATTGATGTACAAATTCAATTATTTGGGGGAGAAATGTTCATTGAACACGAACATGTAAACATTACAGGTATAGTTGTAGACATCATAAAGGACGGTAGGGGTCTTCTGCTCTTACCCTGCAGGAGATTTAGGGGGCGCCGCTCTGGACCCCAGCGGTCCCTGGCTCGACTTGGACTGTATGGTCATGGACTCCATCTTCGCTACAGGAGGACCCAGACCTGAAAAAGACAGTAACACTTTCATTATTTATTTTTCCTTTAATGTCTATGTATGTAGTACACGTTTTTGCATTCTAAATAATCTCTTCATTACGATATTAAATAATACATAAATAATAGTAAAATTAGTGGTTAAAAGTAGAATAATCAATAACAACACTAGTCATTAGTTGTGTCCTTTAATCTGCTAGTGCTGCTAGACAATTGGTCATTTTAACCAAGATGAGAAGAAATGGGAATTACAAATACATTTTTGTATTGTTGTGCGCATAACTGCTTCCCGATTCTTTTTCATTGTGATTTATATATTTTATGAAGATGCTATTAATAAACAAGAAGGGTTATTTTCGGCTTGAACAGTTTTAATTGTTTTGTTGAAGTCATTTGTTATTAATGCAAATAAAAGAAATCTCAGCACATGCAAAGAATTTAAACAAAAACAGACCACTTTGAATCTACCACACTATATTAAACTAATATGCCATCACTGTATCAACGGTGTAGTTTAAGGTGGAAGAATGGGTCTGTTGGGGTTCATACCTCCAGCCGAAGTGAGTCTCAGGGGGGGGACAGGAGGGTGCATGTTGGGGGGGTCCGAGGAAGACCTCTGTCGGCCACCAAGGTCTAAAGGACCGGGTTTCCAGCTGCTGGACGCTGAAGACTGACCGATCCCCCCCAGGCCGGTTAACTGGACTGAGATGTGATAAACAGAGAGAGGTCATTTAGATTCAACTACAATAATCGTCACACAGCTGTATGCCTCTGACAACATGTCAAGTTGCAGTTTACATCCATATCGGTCTAATCACTTCATCACTTTATCCTATTAGATATCTGTGTGAAACTGTCATAATGAACACATGAAGGCTTAAGTTATAGTTCTAAATGTGTTTTGTCAGGTCACGGTGACCTTGGCCTTTGACAAGCAAAATCTAAATCAGTTCATCCTTCAGTCAAAGTGGGTTTTTGTGCCAAATTTGAAGTAATTCCCTTAAGGCATTTCTAAGATATCATGTTCACGACAATGGGATGTACTGATGGACAGCCCTAAAACATTATGACTCTGGCCCTGTTGCCAACGTGGAGGCATAAAAAGAGACAGAGAGAGAGAGAGAGAGGGCACTGCACTTTGCCAAGACTGGCGTCCACTTTAGAAGTCAAGCTGTTTCCATTTGAGTGTAATTGAGAGCGACGGTCAATGGGGAGAGGGAATGTGCAGAATGTGAGGTGGGCAGCACAGCTGGTTGTTTTACTCCGCTCCCGTTGGCATTGCTCCAGACGGCCACTGATGTTATTAAAGAGCCACTGTGCTCGATGTGTCACAAGTCGGTAAGCCAGTAAAGCCATGATGAAGGTTTCTTTAGCAGCACATAAAGAGTGTTTTATTTATTTTTTTATCAACATACCTTCTCATTACACAGAATTGAGTGCCCAAAAACATTCACTCACAAAATAAAATGTAAATCCTGCCACTTTAATAGTGTGTTTAAGTGCTGCATGAGCTGGCACCAGGTTACTTTATTAAAACAGCTCATCCCCTAATCCATCTCTCAACCCCTCAGATCTAATCTGATCTTCATTCGACACCCAGATATAAAACCAAAGGGGATCCGGCATATTCAGCAATGAGCCAATTAGATCTTCTGTGTCCCTTTATACATTTAAACCTGTCTAAAGAGCCATCTTTTTTCTTTATCCTCCTAATTATCACCACAAAAACCTATTCTGACCACACTCTGGTTTACTTATATGTTCTTATATATGTCTTTGTTTTCACTCATTCATTCCCGTGTTAATTCTCTTTGTATAGTATTTTGGTCAACATCTTTTTTTAATGTTCTCCACACATGAACTTGACATGACTTCAAGTTGTAAATATGTCAACAACTTTCTGGAAAATCTGCCCATCCATCTGTCTCCAATGTGACTTCTCCCTGCTTCAGTACTCAGAGACATCTGTGGTGTTGAAACAGGTCAAAAAGTCACCAAGACCTGCATAGTAATTAAAATAAAAAATGGAAACCAGTGCAACGGGGCCAAATGAGATACTGTGGATCTAAATGGGATTGATTTTCTAGGGCAACTTTTATAGATATCTCTTCCCCGGGGAAGGTGAGGAGGTCAGACTCAGGAGGTCAGACTCAGGAGGTCAGACTCAGGAGGTCAGACTCAGGAGGTTATCAGGATCATCTGGATCCTTTTTATCCATGTAGCATAATTATAATAGTATGATGAAAGAATGAACTCCATTTTCCCTATAAAGGCTAAAATTGCCTTCGAGTGCTGCTGCCTCCGAGCTTACCCAGGTTCCTCGGGGGCAGCGGGGGAGCGGAGTTGGAGGCAGACTGAGCCTGGTTGTTGTTGAGGATGGTGCCGTACGTCTCGTTGTTGACCAGGCTGGGCATGTAGGCTCGCTGCTTGTCCTTCCCGAGGCCGTCGCGGCCCGCAGAGCCCAGAGCGGCCTGCAGGTGGGAGCTGCTGCTGGGGGTGTAGCAGCTGACCGGACGCTCGTCTCTGCGGTGAGGGCTGGGCTGCAGGGGCGGCAACATGTAACGGGTTAGAAGTGCGAAATGATATTGATCTATTGTATGCGTTTACTGAGTGCATGTGGGTCACAATGGCTTTTTACATTTTCTGTTCTTTCTTCTTAAGAGTTTTTTCATAATATTCTTGAGATTTGCCCACTTTCAAATGTTGTGATATTTTACAACTTTCCAGTCACTAAGGTTGTTATTTTAAAATAACCCTTAAAAAAAACTGCCATTTCATCATTATTCTACTTTAATAGCTTTGTCACTATACTTTTTGCATAATGCTTTGGACTCCACAACCAACATGATTAGCTCAGGTCAAACAAAACGTAACATATATGAAACCAAATACCAAACAAAAACTAAATAAAAAAAGGACACAACATAATTATTCTTCAACTTGCCCTGAACTGAGCGTTTTGGGAGCTGACAAATATTTTCGGTTAACTAAAATATTTAACAGAGTCTCCAAAAGCACTGCATTTATAAAAAGAAATGGTTCAGGGAGAAATCTTAACAAAAACACAACGCCGTGGGACTGCTTTATGTGTCTAGTAGTGCATAGATCTTTCAGTAAATAATCTATTAATATATTCAGGGAGAAAAAAAATTAGAACAAAACAAAATAAAATGGCCATTAGCAGAAATCTTTAGGGCCCTTCAGTTTGAGGTATAATTATCCTCAAAATGTTACCTTTAAATTACACCTTTCTTTGGAATTTGAATTTATTAAACTACTCTTATTTCTCACACTGATTACAGCATGTCTCTCACCTTCTCATCCAGATCTTCGTCACTTTCATCCAAGTCTTCATGCTGCAGGCACCATTCGTATTCAACATGGACGTGAGCGTTGAATTTCCCCGACAGTGCTTGGCTCAACTGTACACAGAAACAAATCCAAACACAAATGACTGACAGCTCTTTATACAGTTTCAGAAAGTGGTGTTGATGCAGGCATAAGTCAGGTCTAAACACAGCAGGCTCACCAGCTCTTCACACTGTAGGTGTTTGAGCCTCCGGGCGATATCCAGCGGAGTCTCCCCGGCCTCATTAGCTGGAAGGGACAACAGCAACAGAAACATATCATCACTACTGATTCCACATGCCACAAACACAAAGCCCATGGTCCTTCCTCCCGTCGCGCTGTGACATGATAAATGTGTAATTAGGCCGTTTCCCACACTGAACAGCACTCTTGTTCCTCGGTGTCCTCCCTCTCTGTGAATCTTTTATCTGGCTGTTTTGTTGCGGAGGAGAAAGATTAGTGTTGTGAGAAAGAGTTGCCATGGTCTGCTGGCAGAGCCCGCACCTCTGGGAAATGGAAGGGGAAGACGAGGATGAAGGGGTGTGTGTTTGAGGGAGAGACAGTGGTGGACGAGGTAACCAGATAATTTAGTACTTACTTAGCAACAAGTAATAATACAGTAATGTAAAACTGCTTGGTTTCATTCAAAATCTTAAATAATTAAAAGTGCATACAATATGAACAGCCAAATATTCTTAAGGGTTTACATACTCACCAAGCCTTGTTTATTGTTTATAGGATTATCTTCACTGATACATAAACATGTGAGAAAAAATATGAACCATAAAAAGTACTTGTTTTGCAGTGTGGCCTGAATGTTTCAGCTTGCTTTTAATTCAGTTTAAATGTGTATTTGCATATTTATAACAAGACTAAATAACTCCTAGAATCATGAAAAATAAGATTTGTTTTGGGCTGTTTTGAAAGGGTTGCACCAGCTTTTCTTAGCCAAGATATGTCTTGAATTGTAAAAGTGTGTTTTAAACAATTGGTGCAAATTAATCCAGGTGTAAAATGGAGAAGGATGGAAAAAAGGAGTAGGGAAAGAGACAGTGAACGCATCACAGCCGTGCTGTGGTCTGTTTCCTTACCGATCTCTATGGAGGCTTTCCCTCGCAGCAGCAGTTTCAGACACTCGCTGTTGTCGGTCAGGCAGCAGTAGTGCAGCGCGCTGCTGCCTTTAGCCGTCTGCTTATCCAGATTTAAACTGCAGAGGGACAGACAGGGAGGAAAAACTTAAAATGTTAACAGAAGGAATAAACAATCCGTCCAGAGTGTTGTTTTGCATTTGTGCAATATGTGAAATATTTAAACCCTATATTTATTGTGGTTTTTCATAGTAGAAAACAAAAAACATGGCTCTATAAGAATGAAACAATACTGTTAAAAGAAAGAAAGATAAAACTAAAATGCATTTTTACACTTCAATTTAAAAGAGTAGCATATTCAATGATTGCAAAGTTAAAACCCTCTTCGGCATATTGTATTCTGTGAGTAATACACAACTGAAGTGAAGTGCAACCTACATTGTACTGTGTTTTTAACTGAATTTGTTTACCTGTTCTGAGTGAGGAAGTCAACAATATGAAGAGACGTTCTGTCCACCAGTCTGACTGCCAGATGGAGGGCCGTCTCTCCTTGTTCCTGAAATAAAAAGATAACACATCTATTAAATATTTCCCCCTGGGTATGTGAGGTGTTTGTAGAGAATTAAGGTAAATAGCACTAAGGATGCAACAGATTATTTAGAGTAAGAAGTCAAACATTAAGTTTCAAATGGTTTCAAACATTAGACATAAATATGTTGTGTCCCTACGTGTCCGTTGGCCAGAGGTATGGGCTCCATGAGGTCCACTCCCTCGGCGTAGACCTGGATGAGGGAGAAGATGTCCCGGGCCTTCACCGCGTCACACAGCGTGTGGAGCCGCGACATGGCGTCAGGACATTTCTTCCGGGCGAATCGTTTCTCTGTGTATTTGGCGGTGATGAAGTCTTTCCTCGCCTGCCTGTTTGAACATGTGAAGAGACTCTGTTAGAGCTGATCATCTAGTGTCTCTATGTGATTGGGTTTGATTAGTGCTTTAAAACTGGGGATTCATCAATAAAAAGCCACTAATCATAACTAATTACAAGTTCAGTGTTTGATAGGGTTACTAGTCTACATTGAAAGGAAAGCAGTGACATATGTCATAGAAATATTAGTGTGAACATGTTTGAATACAGACAAAAACAATGTATCATTACTTAAGCAGCTGATATCTTTTCTGGTGTGAGCTGTTCACATGTGGTATGACTTTCGTGTTACAAATAACTAACTAATAGGCTGGTGTTATGGCAATTATGGGTTTAAGTTGCAACAACACTACCCTTCAGCACGAGGTTTCGGCAATAGAAAAACAAAACAGATATCTTTAGTTATATCATTTCATTGTTTTTTTTAAATATTTCTTGTGTGGTTTTCAACATAATTCATGATCAATGATAAGTACTTTATTCCAGTATTTTTATTTCAATATCATTTATGAACTTTCTTTTTAAAACAACTGTTCGCTTTGCTTTTATATAGTTTTTAATTTTTTTATTTAAAAGTTTGAATCTATTTATATTTAGTCTCTCTATTCATCTGTTTCCCATTTCTCGTCATCAATGTATGGCCTGATTTTCCAGTCACACTGAAACAGTAAGTCATATTTAGGAAACATGATCAGAACAATGCTGGATAAGATTTTGCCAATATGTCACAGTGATGGTGTGGACAGTTGTTGATCAGCTATGGCAGAGTGTAGTGCAATACAAGTGAGAAGAGAGAGTGTGTGGGGGGGGGGGGGGGCAGATAGAGAGGGGTGATGTGGAGATTGTGGGGGGGGGAAAGTTGAACGGGTGACTTACATGTCACTGGATGGGTTGGGTTTCACCACATTTTCAGCACTCAAACAAGCCTCCATGATTTCATTAAAGCCTGCATTCCCCACATTCTTGGCCAGCTGTGGAGCACACACACACACGGACACAGCAACACACACATATTAAAACTTAGATATAGTAGACATTTTCTGCACCACACGCATTAATCTAAAGGTCGTCATCTCTGCCTGCTGGATGCAGTACGGTGTGTGTGTGGAGCCTTATAACCGGCACAACGCCCGTCTCATTGTGGGTTACAGGACTGGCGTCTGCACACCGAGGAAAGCAATCACGACTGGAAGCATTTAATCCCAACTGTCCCACAGGCGGTAAATCTCTACACTAAACAGTGATTAGAAAAGCCATAAACATCTCAAGCTATTCTGAGTGCGGAGACTTCCAGAGGTTTCGAAGGGAAGAGGAGAGGAGATGAGGCTACTCTCCTTCCTTCCTGTCTCGATTTGCTGTCCCTTATGTCCTCATTTCCTTTCCTCTTCTTTCAGTTTTATCTGCTTTAAAATCTCCGCAGAGATTCATACAGAAAAATCGATATAATGGAATGACTCAAACTGCGACATAAACAGGGCGTGAGGTGATTCAGCTAAAAAAAACAGGCGCCAGCAGTGATTTACCAAGAGCTCTGAGGTGCTGAGAACGTCCAGAGTGAGGGACTGGATCCTGGAGTAGTGGACTCCGAGCTCTCTGTGGATCCCCGAACATTCAATACAGGTGAGGATGCCCAGGTTAGTGGACAGCCACGTCGGGTCTGGGGAGGAGAAGGGGAGAAAAGGGGGAAAAGAGGGAGGAATGAGTTTGGGGGACAGGCTGTCCTTGGGCAGAAACCACTAAAGCGATGGTAATTTCTGTAGCACGCGAGCCAACTTTGATGTGTCCTTGTGGAAAGCTAAGGGCTGGGGACATTTAATAGCTGCCTGAAGGGCTTTCTGCTATCCGACAGCACACAATGTCAGGGGAAAGTGACCAAGCTGAACTGTAACCAAGTCTGGCCTCCATTCTCAGTGCATGTGTGGATATATAACTGTATGTGTGATTTAACGTATATACACACGTCTGGAGGAGGACATGAGGGTTCATGGGGTTTTAGAAAAATAACTGGGGGACAGAAACAAATACAGAGTATCCAGTCTGCAGGACTTTATCATACCAACACCATCCCAGTCTTTTATTAAAATGTACTTTGCATAAACTTTACAACTAACACCTTACAAAAACATACTACACATTTTTAAGACTGATTTCTAAATGTAAAAGCAAATCTTGTTTTTTATTTACTTTATTCAAATCCGGAAACTGCTTCAAACAATGTAGTGCAATGTACATATTGTTGGTTTAATTTCCTTGAAGGTAAGGAAGCAAAAACTTGAGTTGAAGGATTGTCAGTGATCTTTGTAGTCAGAGAATAATTATATAGGGATTTCTGAAAATAAATCTAATTTGAAACTGTGGATGATTACTGCTATATCCTTGTTGATCAAGTACCGTTGTAGGGATGTTGGCCAGCTTCTTTGTAATTGCTAAAAGGACTATAATGTTTGTAGTGGCCAATTGTCCAATACAGGAATGTTCAAAGGCCACTTAGTCTAGGAGGCGAATTCGAGTATTGACTCGCGTATGTTCAAGAAATCCAAATACCTTGCTCGTTCCATTCAAGTGCTTTATTAGGAGGTTCAATGGATCAGCTGGCGGCCCAACGCCGACGTGCAACCTTTGCACGGTATTTAAACAAATAAACAAACAAATCCCAGTCGTACGGATGTGTGCGGTAAAAAACGTTTTCCAACTTCCTCTCTAGACTTCCTGCTGTGTCACGCTGGCAGCGTCATTTATACCCGAGCACGCTACTACAATTTGCTTTCTATAAATAATAACAAAACATAAAACTAGAGCCGTCCATAAGCAAGATAAAACGTTACAAAAACAGTATAATAATAATTCATAGTTATTCAGTTAATTTAAGTTAAAGGGGACCTATCATGCAAAATGCACTTTTGTATGTCTTTTATACATGAATATGTGTCCCCGGGGTTCCAGGGAACTCACCAAGTGTCAGAAAACACAACCCTCTCTATTTTCCTCCATACCCAAATCTCTAAAAAAGGGGCTGCAACGGATCTGATAAAAACTGATCCAGATTTGAACACTTCTATGACGTCACAGAAGTGGCGCTACGGCTATTGGGCCAACTCTCCACCTATCAGGGGAATGTAGGGTTGGGCTACGGCCGGCCATTGCCGCTCGAAAGCGCTGGAGACGCTGTAGTAAATATGCCAGGCCTGTAAGTGGCGCTGTAGTCTGCCACAAAAGCAGCGAAGAAGACTTCCCGCCCATAGTTACCATGGTTACCCTTCTGTTTATTCTCCGCTGTGGCTTTTTTTCTCCCTCCCCGAGGCAAGCGTTTGTTCCTTCTGCTGCTTTAATTCAATGCAATCCCTCCCCGTCGAGGCAAGCACTGTAATTCTCTCCGGTTAGTCCACCAGCAGATGACAAACACCCACCTCTCCGCCTCTTCCAAGGAACGAGGGGACCGTGCAGCAGAGTTTCAGTCACAGTTTCTTTCGCCGGTCAAGATGTCCGTTAAAGTTTAAATCTTCCGGACAAAATTAGAAAAGTGCCGGTCAAAGGTCTTCTTTGTTATTTATCGAGCTTTAAAACAAATGAATAACGTCTCTATATAATAAAACACGGAGGACGGAGATCTCTTTTTCTCCCCCTCTTCTGACAGCCCAGCAGCTGATCAGAGCACGTCTCCCCTCTCCTGCAGGGGGGCGTGGTCAGCAGAATCAGCCCCGTAGACAGCAAACAGCACATAGAGCGAAATGAGGCATGGCTAAAATGCATGATCTGTTTGGTATTTTGAAAACAGAAACGTATAAATATACCTTATATAGGTATGGCCCTACAATATATCATTTAAATATAGCATGATAGGTCCACTTTAAATTAAAGAATATTCAATTGGCTCACCAAACCATACCATAAAATAATGTGCGTAAATGGCTCTTACAATGTTAATTACATTTTGCCCGGGAGTTCGAAAATCCATCTAATATTTATTATGGGTTCTGGAGAAAGGTCAGCGTTAATGGAAACTATGAATAATTTGTAGTTTAGAAGCTTAAAAGCACACAAAACCACTGGTGTCCTCCTGTTTGCCATCATTATCAATCACATTATTATCTTTAAAATGTGTCATTTGTCTTTCTCTGCCACTCACTGGGCGCTCCGCAGTCACAGCACAGGTCGTTTCCCGTCATCCTCTTCACCTCGATCAGGATGGCCTTGGTCAGCTCCTGCACGATGTTGTTCTCTCCGACATGCTGGTCCCCTTTGAAGGCCTGATTCAACGCCTCCTCCTTACTGTTCTGCAGCACTGAGATCCAGCTGGAGGAGGGCGGAGAGGAGGGGGGAGCAAAAATGAGAATAATGACAGAAGAAGAAGGAGAAGTGGAGGTCGAGGGAGGAGGAGAAAGTAGGTTTATAGGTGAGGATGGGAGCAGCCGGAGGAGGGAGATAAAAAGGGGAGAGAAGGCCGGATTAAAAGGCTGGTAAATATTCAGGAAGTTGGAAGTAAAGACAAGGCCGAGCGTCTGACTGGGTGTGAGGTAGGAAGTGTGTGGAAAGTGGACGAGGCGGTAAACAGGATGCACTTAGGAGCAAAACTGAACACACACACACACACACACACACACGGGGAAGGAAGGAACAGGCACTCACATCTGACAGTCCTGGTCGTCCTCGGCCTGAAAGTGATACGTTCTGTCGTCTGAAACAAAAAGGAAACGGATGACACAACAGCAGAGAGATTTGGGAGAGGAAAGAGAGGACAACATGAACTAAAGAGAGGTGGAGACACAGGGAAGATCTCAGAGCCACTAAAGTATCCTGCTCAACTGAAAACTGTAAATAACTTTTTTAGCGCATTTCTCTGTCTTCAGATGTGAATACTAATAACCTGGGAGGACTATTTTTAAATCTCTGTTTCCAAAGCAACCTAAATCATTTACACCGAAGCTGAATCTTTGCCTCTCCAGCTCAATGCCACTATCTCTTACGTGTGGAAAAACTGGCAAATTCAAAAGGACTGAAAAGGAAAACAGTTGCTGAATTATTTTCAATTTGTCAATTTACAAATCAATTAATCACGCTAGCTTTTTTCTGTTTTGTTATTAAATTCCAAGTTCAAGGCTAAATGCTATACTGAGATGTGCGGGATGTGTACATTTTGAAAAAGCTTATCTGTGGCTTTCTGCCGTTTGCTCAATAGAAAATAATCCACACTGCTGCACAACAAACCTTGGTCAGCTGCTGCCTGGATGAATGGAGCTAATTAAAATGTGGCATTGAAATGCTACGTATACAGATTATGAAAACCGTGAGAGCAGGACGGCAACATATGAAAATGCCAAGAGGGAGACGCCTGAACTTACGTGATATGAGGTCAAAGCTTCTCTTCTCTTCAGGATTGTGTTTGACCTGGCAGGTGAGCAGGTTGAGTTTAGCTGGTGGCCGGTTAGCCTGACGGAGAGAGAGATGGGGAGCAGAGGCAGAGGGAGGGAGGGTAATGATAACATTGTACATGAGTGAGAGTGTTGTTTTTAACCATATCTGACTGCAGCTGCAGCCAAGTGAAACATCTGATAAGAGCTGCGTGTGAGAGGAGCTGCTTCAAGGAGCCAAATCTTTATATGGGAACAAACGAGAGGCTCAGCAATGAGAGAAGAAATGAGAACTCTCTGCTGTTAATGAATTCATTCACGTTTAATGGGTGAAGATAATGATTGCCTACCAGAAAAGGACACTGAAACTTTAATGTGTGTGATTAAATGAAGTGTGATAACATATGTGTGTATTTGTTTTAACGAGGACACACACATAGATCCTGTTCTTGTGCAACTGAAAGTGTTTTACTCACTGTGCCGTGTGAGATGGTGAGGTAGCCGTTCTTCGCTGTGCACTTTCTCTTCTGCCACACTTTCCTCAACCTGTGACACACAGACAGCAGAGGTAAGAAGTCACATACACTAAACTCACATAGCAGACACTTATGATAACATATTTAATATGATCACATGTTATGATACAGAGTAGATGCATTAGTTATGACGCACAGACTGAGCAGTGTATTCACATCTATAATTTAAAAAACAAGTGAGATCACCTGAAACAAGCAGCTGATTCATTGATACACAGAAAATGAAATCGCAAAAGGTTTCGATAAATGATTATTCTCTTGTGGTTTTTCAAAATCACCAGCTTTTCCAAAAAGAGGATTTGATGATTGTCTGTTTTTTCTTGTTTGTTTGATTTTACATTATATTATTAATATTTAAAACAAGCAATTTAAAAGATATCACCTTGGGCTCAGATAAATTGTGATGTGTCATTTTTGCTGTTTTGTGGATTAACAACTAGTTGAGTAAGTGAGAAGGTAACCAGCAAGTTGAAGTAGATACATTATTGTTTATTTGAAATAAGTTCAAATCTTTGTTTCGCTTTGTTATATTATTTTAATATCAAATCAAATCAAATCAGGTTTTATTTATAAAGCACATTTAAAAGCGATTTTTGGTCGAGCCAAAGTGCTGTACATGTAATAAAAACACATTACTACAAAACACAATAAACGACAATAAATTACAACAGATATAACTTAAAAAAATATATTATAACACATTTAGAACTCAACACAAAATGGGAACTTACTTTACAACTATTGTGTTTTAACCCCTACACAACCACAACTGATAATTTGAGCTAATTTGACAGACTCACCCGTCACTCTTCTTGAAGAGGCAGCCGCTGCGCTCCGTGCCGTGCTCCTTGTTGCCCTGAGGCTGGTGCAGGCTGTAGGTGGTGCTCTGCCGCACCTGTGAATCCTGGGAAAGCAAACACAAAGAAACACACACAAGAAATCAATGCCTATAAACAAACAAAGAAAACTAAATAAAAAGCAGGCGCTACATGAAGGATTTGCACATTCAAATTGCCGTCTATAGGAGCCACTGAAGCGGTAAATGGCTCAGATTTAATCTCTGACGCAGAGTCTCCTGCTCCTCTGAGAATTTAGAAGCGAGTGTGAACAACAAAAGATGGCTGTCAGCCTGAATGATTTTGTACACATGGGGATGAGACAATAATAGGAGCTTTTACACCTCTGAATCTAAATCTGCGACAACAGTTTGCAAATAGCTTCCAGGATAGAATTACAAATCCCATTTTGATCGTAAACCGTTGCAGTTTGAACAGATTAAACTTGATTGCATTTAACTTTATATTCAGGTTTGAGTGCAATGTAACAACACACATGTTATAAAAAAAAAAAGGACTAAACAAAGGCAAGCTTTTTGTACGAGTGAAGTCATTTCCTGTCTGGAAACACTACGGGGAACAGACTTCAGAAGGCAGCCGTTAATGTGGCTTTAATGATTCTATTGGTGTGTGCTGTTATCAGCAGACACACACAGCTTGAGCTTTCCACATTGAAAAGTTATTTGAAATAAAAAGCACTGAAACATGGCTTAAAAAAGAACATAAAAACGAATAATTTAGCACAACAACAGAAGCAACACAACACAATGGAAACAGAATGCACACAACCACAGAAATGTTTTTCCATGAAATCCACTTACTCTCCTAGACTTGTTTCACAAAAGACGAGGGCAGCGGAGGAAAGGAGAAAACAACCTTCAGGTGAGACCAGGAGCTGCTGCGGTCTGCAGCTTATTGAATGGTTCGCTAAGCTTAAAAATAATTTCCACTCCTTCATGTGGAGTGGAAATTGATTATAGCAATGCATGTATAAAACAAATGGGAATCACCTTAGATTTAACTTCTACCAGAGACCAACAGCCTAAAAAAGGGCTGAAAGATAATAGTTTGAGGACTGTATATACTTATCATAATCAGATTTTAAACTATATATAACATTAAGAAAACTAAAATATGATGTTTGACTGACATATTGTTATTTGATGTTCAAAAGACCCTCAGTGCTACGTGTTCGTGAGTGTGTGTTACCTCTTTCTGCTCCACCTGCAGTGCTGTCTTCAGGACGTCTCGTAACTGAGTCAGCTGTTTCCTCTCCTCGTCCTGCACCTGCTTTATCTGTCATGAAGAAAACATTTCAAGATTCAGAAGGCTTTATTGTCATAAGCACAGTAGCTACAGTGTAGATATGGCAATGGGAATCTTAAGTCCCAGGCTCCTCCAACAATGCAACAAGACCCAAAACAATAAAATAATACAAGATTATTTTGCCAGAACAACGTGCAAGTAATCCAAAAACAGAGGAAAGGGAGACAAGCGAAAGAAAGAAGGTGAAAGAGTGGAAGTTTTTCTCACCGTGTGCAGATCTGTGGCCAGTTTTTCAATGGAAGGTTTTAAGTTGTCCACAGCTTTTAGACCATCCTGAAAGAAACTGAACAGGAAACATGTTAGTTTAATAAGTATGTATGCAACTGATCACATTTCCCTGCAAGATTTCTCTGTCTTACTTGCACTGTGCGTGGAAGTACTTGATGAGGTTCTGCAGCAGGTCCACTCCCTTCTTGATTTTGATCTCATTGACTTTGAGGAGATACTGTAAACACATGGAATACAGATTCAGCATGAGACCAGGTTCAGTCAGAAGGAAAGGCAGCTCCATTTCAAACATTATTCATCCCTTTCATCTCCTATGCAGACACTTCAAAGAAGAAGTCTACATCTTTCCAGTGAAGCTTCATTAAAAGTCAAACATCACAGAGGTCCAGACCACACACACGTCATAAATGTAATCTAAGATTTGTATTTCAAAAGTGTATACACATTATGAACTACACAAACTTCTTCTCGGTTTGACAGATCTTTGCAGTAATTAGTCAGTCTCACCTCACACATCTGCAGCTGGAAGAATCTCCTCTCCTTCTCCATCTCCTCAGCGATCTCTGCGCCGCTGATTTCCGTCCTGATCATCCCGTGCTGCCTGGCGTGTTCCTTCTTCTCCTTCTCTATCTTGGTGCTGGCAGGAAGTGACATCACAGGGGTCAAAGAGCAAACGGCAAATGCATGGCAGTACCATGAAACATAGGGGGGAAACGTGTGGTTTTGTGTAAAATCAGCCCTATTGCTGACTTTGTTGTCGGAGGAAATGTGGGGATTTGGAGGGTTTGTCGCGTAACGATAATTATGCCATGCTTATACTTCAATGATTAAATTAAAAAGGGAGTTATGTATTCTAAAAAGTTAGGTATAGGTTTCTGGTATGAGCAAAGGAAATAAGTAGTTTAAGATTTTGATTACTCTTTCATTCCTGCCTCAGGTGAAATCTTTCAAACACCAGGTTACCTGCCATTCAGTATTCAGGGCTGATTTTTCACAAATACCATAAACTCTGCATACAGTAGGCTATCTGTAAAAAGCAATCAGCAAAACACACACACACAAGGGAGGGGGGGGGGGGCACCAGACCATGCAACAGGGCATTCTTTTCCATATGCTGTTTTTCTGACAGCATATTCCCTACGAAGACGATGCAGCAATCTGTTCCCTCTCGCAGAGACGGGACAAGAGTGTCAGTGTTTGCAAGCTGTTCCACAGATTTCAGCATGATTCATGAGCATCAAGCTGTGCTGGTAGGTGGACTTTGCTAACTTTTAATAGACCCAGGCTGTAGCTCCATATTTAAAAATATTGTAATAATATTAAATAGTTGTTTTACGGTGAATAAATCGAGCTCATCGAACTTCACATTCAGAAGGCATAAAGCGCTACAATCTAAACCAACTGCTCTCTTTGTATTATGATTCATGATGTTGCAACACTTTTAAAAGGAAGCAGAAATCAAACTTGTCTTCTGTTTTTTGCAATTGCACAATATCTACTTTCATGTGTTATTTGTCATGTGCTCAAAGGCTTCATGAAGTAGACACTGACTTGATATTTATGTGTTTGTCATCAACTGTGAGTCGCAGTGGGAGGAGACAGTGATCAGTTTTTTGTTTTCAAAAAGTCAGTGTCTGTTTTTACCAAGGAAATTGTTTTAGACATGGTTGGAAAACACAAAGTGAAGTTAATTTTGGTTCGTAAATTTGCCATTCAGTGCATAATGCCAAAATTAATTTAATCGAGTACAGAGCGTGCCTTTGTCAGCACATGAATCATCAGCGCTGAGAGTGTTACAACATCATCGGGCTGAGACTAATGGAGAGACACGTGTTCGCCAGGCTGTTTGGAAGCCTGCCAAGTATTCAACTGATGATCGGGCTGAGAACCAATTCCCTTTCAGTGCTGTCAGTCCAGGAAGTGATCCACCAATTAGGAAATAAAGACAGGAGACGCAAGAGTTTTTGAAGACGCATCAAATATAGGGATAATTTGACTTATTTTAGGAACTCTTCCTGAATTAACAGCATTGTAAACGAGACAACTCCCGACCAGAACACTGAAAATGGATTCCAAACTCAAGAGTCGGATGCAAAGTGTTTGCAAACCAAATCAGGGATTGAGAAATCAATACTGTGCGAGACAAAATGATGCATCTCTTTGTGTCTGTGAATATAAAACAGCAGACCGCAGAGAGATCAGAGAAGACCGGAGTATCATTGATAAAGAAGAGAGCGGCAAGACGCATTGGGGGTGTTTGGGTGGCTTTCCAATCAGGCAGAAAACTGGCCTCTATTGATGGTTTCAGTTTGCCATCAATAGAGTAAAATCAAAAGCAAAAGGTCGAAACAGTCATACAGCATCAGGATGAAATTGGATTTTCGTACAAAGCCCGCACTGTCTGATTGAAACGGTTTGGAGAGAAGATGCATTACCCTTTCAGTAAAGAATGTCCTTTGCCGCTTGTAAAATATATGAAAATGCTATAAAATGTCATGTGTCCTTTGCATGCACAATCGGTGGAAATGGTGTCTCAGTGTGGAGAGGGAAAGGTGATGGTGAAGGCGAGTTATTCACATTATCACAGATGTGTTGACAGATCATCACAGATGGGGGTTAGAGGGGGAGAGCAGTTAGTCGAGACAAGTAGACAGAGACAGGACACAAACTGCAGTTTAACATACTAACTGACACGTGTGGTTATAAATTAATCAAAAATAAGGATGGCTGTGTTATAACGAAGTTTAGGCATTGGGTCAGCAGGGAGCACAACAATGTAATCAATTAACTCACACACTGGTTTTATTTATGAAAGAAAAGTTGTTTTTGAAGTATTCATAAAAGGTTTCTTACACTTTTGTCTCGTAGTCCTTCCAGGCTTTGTCAAAAGGCTTTTTCAGATCCTGTCAAAAACAAGCAGACAAATTCAATTGTGAACAAAAGTCAAAAATATAGTGCAATAATAAAGGAAGGGTTTGACAGTATGAACAGACCATTTTTAGAAATTGGCAACCAATTCCTAGCCTTCCAGGCCACTTTTAAACACAAAGCAAAAAGTCACTGTCATGGAAGCCGGCAATATTCAGTTGTGCTTTGAGGAAGTGTGATAGGTATTTGACACCTACAGTATTTAGGACATTTTATAGACCAGACAGGTAAAGGAATACTTCCACCATAAGGCCATTAGACAAGAATGTAAACACCTTCACAGCAACCACATCACAAAGATCTCAACATCACCACTGTCATCGCTTACCAACTGTCACAAAAATATTGGAATTTCACTACTAATGAGCAATGCTACTGTATCTCTCTGGGTGTGGGTGTGGGTGTGTGTGTGTGTGTGTGTGTGTGTGTGTGTGCGTCTCATTATGGTGTGAATCATTTATCTGAATCATCCTCCTCACAGGTGCAGAGCAGTCTACAGCTGTGGAGGAGCTGTGTACGATTACTGTGTGGAGGGTTTTTGGGAAGGCAGGTGAGTTTTGAAATGCTCACACTGACAACGGGTGACGCTTCTCATTGTCATGGGTGTGCTTTCTACAGCTGCTTGAGCAACGCGCTTGATTAAACAACACCGCGTACACTGCGGGGCTGATTAAACAGCGATTATGTGAAACAAAAGCAGACATCGCTGGGTGTAATTGGCTGTAAAAACTACAATGCATTGAAATTAATTGTTGCCCGATACCAGAGCCAGAACGCCAGGAACGTCTGCCCCAAAGCATGCAACAAAAACAACGAATAATCACAGGAGTTTAGACGTCTCTTTGTGAATAAATACCAAAAACTACAGTTAGCACCTGCTGAATCCTGGCATGGAAGTCTGATGTTTAGAACATACTAACAATTTAACATTAACCGACACTCATGTATGGCTTACTGTGCATTTCTGTCCATGAATGTGAAAAGCACACATATTTCTGTTCGGCTGACAGGCAGCTTATGGCCTTAGTGCGTTGTTAAAGCTCCAGAGTGGACTGTGATCCCGCTGTTGACCTCCACTCCAACAGCAGAGGAGTGGCAGGCTCACCCCGTTAGCCCCCAGGAACACGGCCCAGTTCACTGCGCCAAGGAGCACTCAGCCAGGCAGTCAACCAGCTCAAGAGCACAAACCACCAGAGGAAAGAGAGCATAAAGGACTATAAAAACACACACAAAAGCTGAAAACCAAAAAGAACGCAAATCTGTAAAGAAAAAAGCCCAAAGCCAGAGAGGAAGCAGCTAAAAGAATGTACTGTAGGTCAGCAGAGAGTCAGAAATAACAGAGAGGGTGAGCGGAAGGAAATGTCATAGCCAGAGAGAGGAGAAAAATGGTAACAAAGGCTAAAAATACCAGAATCAGGCATTGCTGGGCAGGGACCGGCTGAGCAGAATAGGCCAGAGCACGGGGCAAATCTCTCCCCGAGGGAGCAGCGAGCTCTTAGCGCCCTGATTCTCTGTCTGGCTGAATCCAAAGGGCGGAGGAGGAATGTCATGCCCTTGAAAAGGGCCTCCATTCGCAAATGTATCACCTTTTCCTACCTTCCGACCACACATGTCCATGAATAGCTGTTCCTGTTTCACATTCCTCACACCTTTCCCCACTGCAGTAATGAGTTTAGTTTGGATCTGTAGTGCCTGTGGATGTGAATGTTTGTAGGGGCAGTTCACCTAAATTATAGAAAAGACGTTCTCCCATTTACATCTAGGGTTATCTAGCATTAAAGCAACCAAAACCTCTTTTTAATGCAAACAACTATAGTCCATCATATGAGAAGTAAAGACAAAAAACTAAGAGAAAGATATCTCTTAAAACTTGACAAATAAAACCAAAGTCTGCATGCCAAGATACCACTTGAAGTAAAAAGGGAAATTGTGCTTTGTAATAATTGGATTGAACTGACCCTTTATTATATCTGCTGTTTCTAAATGCATGTTCAGTTGTTTTAAAAACTACTGATGCTGCTGATGTAGTTGATAGCAGATTGTGCAAATAAATGTGGTTGATTAGTATTCCAAGCTTATCTTTAATCTCATACAGCGAGCATGTGTGGGTGTTTCGGATGTTCACGACCCACTGAACCACAATGAGACCCCCTCCTCACACTCCTTACTTACACAAACACAGTAGACTGTGCAGGAACTATGCAGACACTGTAACTGAGCGGTGATAAGCTGCTGTGACTCATGGTGGGTTAGAAACACAGACTGGTCAATGAGCAGAGGATGAGAGGGGCGGTATGACATCATGCTGCCGTCCACTCTGAAAGGCCGCTGTTAGCAGAAAGCTCTCGTGGACTCAGCACTTTCCATTTTCCACTGATGGAGTGTGTTTATCTTCAGTAAAAACACCCCTGGGTCTTCCAGGGACCCCACCCAAGCGTTTATGCTACTGCTGCACTAACTGAGCTGTACCCTGAATACATACTTTAGCTAAATATTGCTTTAAAACTAAATGTCTTTACAGAAACACTTTACCTGCTTCTGAATTGCCCTCTGTAGTGAACCATGGAGTTAGATGAGGTGGAAAAAGGTAGATTTTATCAGTGATGGGTTGCTAGGTGGTAGCCCTCTAATCACAGAGCCATTAGTGGCTACCCCCCCTCGGGGTTGGTTCATCGCACTCATTGTCAGAGGCAGCACTGGCAGAATATTAACAACCTGGGAGAGAATAACGGCAACCAGAAAGCCATTAGGTCTCGAGTTAAATCAAATGAAAAGGACTGGTGGCTATTATAGCCGCCACATACAGCAGACGTAATTGCAGTGCATTTAAGGATACCAGTTTGCACTTTGTATGCATTGACAGAAGATTAAATATCTTAAAATAACTTTACATGAAGAAGAAGCTGAAAAGAAAAGTTATTAAACTAAGTTGAAGTCGTAAATATATGCTACTGACATTTACTCAAGGTGTATTTTTTCACACAGCTCATACGAATCTTGTTTTTACGTTTGGATAATGACGCATCAAAATTGTGACTAGTCTCTCTCCGTATACCTTTCTGTATACATCTCTCTTCCTCTCTAAGGACATGCATATCAACCCAATATGTTCTCCTACTCTCACTGCAGCCTTTCATGCAGGTCTGGGCTTCTTCTGCTTTCGCCTCTCCTAACAAGTACTTCCCCTGGGAGACGACAGGAGTGAAGAAGTGGGATAATGACAGAGGAAGAGGAAGATGAGGAAGAGGAAGGGAAGGCTAAGGGAACTGCTTTGGGCTGTGGAGTTGAGCAACAAGTTGAGAGGGGGGATGTAGCCATGAAGGAAAAGGAGAAATAATCATCACAGAATGTCTAGATTCTCCTGGCACTGAGGTTAATGACATTGCAACAGTGGTGACATTAACTTAAGTGTGTGTGTAAATGTGTGTGTGCCCTAAGGTATGACATAACCAGCAGCTCATTAGCCCCCATGTCATTTTGGGTAATAGGAATCATCATATGGCTAATGAGCAATAAGCGGGTAAGCTTCACAGATGCGACAGAGTGAGGGGTGGGCGGCGGGGAGAGAGTGAAGGAACCACAGGGAAAGAAATAATGGGAGAGACAGAAATGATGTAAAAAATAATAATAAAAGCAGCGAGGACAGAAGCAGATGGAAGCTAATAAGAAAAACTTGAGATGCACAAAAGAGCAATGGAAGAAAACACAGGGACAAACAGTCCAGAAGTCGAGAGGGTCACAGGGACAACCGCCATATCCATGGCAACCAGCCTCATTAATGAGCTGGCTTAATCGTATCATACCTCGGTGGAAACCGCAGCCAATCATGTGCCTGCAGAGTGAAAGGTCACAGAGCGGCAGACAGTAACGAGTGCTGATTTCATTACAGAGCAGCAGGGACTGTTAACCTGAGTCTGTCTGGGTTGAGCTCTGTGACGCACATGACTGACTGGCTGACTGACTGACTGACTGACTGACTGCTGTGTATTAAACCTCAATACCTTTTTGGTTTGTCGCACTAACTATTAAAAACTCTCAAGTACAAGGTAAGGCTGGGCGGGAGAAGTGTTGCATGTCATTCCTTTTGTTTCCCTCCTCTTGTTTCCTGTGAAGTCCGCAGAATCAGCTGTCTAATACAGGCATAAAATACCCTCCAAAATTGCTTTAACAATTCTTATTTCCTGTTTTTAGGGAATAATTCTTGAACGCCTGCTTGTGTAATGACTTCAATTTGTAAGTTACCCTGCTGCGGGACTAATACATGAAAGAATCCTGACTATTTAACAATTCAGAACATCTTGGGGAAGGATTTTGCGGAAAAACATCAATTTCTTAAAGTTTATTATTCAAAAGTATGAGTTTGGCATTGGCACTGAAACGTTTCCACACATTTATAATTCCCTAATATCTTTCAAATAAGATTTTAAAGCAGGAATAGATTGCATTTAACTGTGTTCAAGTCTTTCAGAGGCAGATATTACTGTTTGCCAACTTCCATTGATTAGATCATTATCTCCAAAATGTTCCAGTAACTGGTTCACCCTGATGATACAGGCAACATGTGATGTAACGCTGAGTTCATATCAGCCCCATGCTGACACTTTTTCACCTGCTCAATTGAGTGATTGCATGCTCCCACTTGAGCATCAATTATGTTGACTGATTGTAGACTGCACTCAAAATTAAACACATTTTATAGAGTGATGATCATTTGCTCCATGCTGACAGTTTTGCACTACTTCATCATGTTGAGCTATTGCAGGCATCATGTTAATACTCACGTCAGTAAATGATCAGCGGTAAATAAAGTTTGGGATTTTATTTCTAGATTTTGAAATGTATTCTGGTAACCCTCAATCAATCTAGCCTTTACCCAATTTACTTTTTAATGACAGCCACACCTCATTGTGATACTAAACGTGTGGTGTTCACTGAGGCGCGAGGACAGAGCATTCATCTCCTCGTATTAACACTTCCTGCTCAGCAGTAGAGTAACACAAGACCATGCCGTTTTGTTTCCTTACCCCTTTGACTCCCTTGAGGTCTCCTTTCAGCAGGCTGTCCAGAGGAAAGGTGATGATGTTGTTCATGTTTTGGAACTGGAGGAGGGTGAGGAGAGAGACAGATAAGAGTTGAAGGGTTACATCAGAGGATTTAAAACCTGCAGGAGCCTAAAAGTCAGGGGCACCCGACACCACTGAGAGTCAATCCAATAAGTGTGTTGTTTAAGAGAGTGTGTGTGTGTGTGTGTGTGTGTGTGTGTGTGTGTGTGTGTGTGTGTGTGTGTGTGTGTGTGTGTGTGTGTGTGTGAATTGTTTTTTTCTGAACAGTAAAGATGGTGATAATATCCAATACTGAAGCAATAAGGGTTATTGGGTTGAAGTGTGCCCCCTCAGCAGCAATTGCACCATATTTATTTGCACATTTTAATTTTACATTATTAAAATACATCCATTATAAGACATTACGAACCTCCCCTTACTGCGAGCCCCCGTGTGTATTGCTGCACATGTAGTCTAGGAAGCGAGAGCTCAAGCTTCGAGAGATTACATCTTCACATCCAGGTCAGGCAGGCAGCTCATATTTCTTTAATATAAGGTGTTGAGATAACACTAATAAAAAAATCTCCTGATCTCAGTGTGAGTCGATACAGTGTCTAAGGCGGAAGCAACAGACCTCACATGATGGTGTCAGGTTTTTCCAATAAAGCTCTGGCCTCAGTACAACAAACCTGGCTTTAAGAGATCAGGTTGATTTAGATCCAGGAGATATTTTGTGTTGCAGTGGCTCTTTGGCCGCCTCAATGGAAAAACTAGAGCTACCTCCCCGGGGGCTTTAAGTTCCAGCTGGACTCGGTATGTGCTCGATGTGTGTGTTAGTTAGAGACTCACAGGGACTCAAGGGGATGGAGACAATTAGAGAGGAGAGGATGGAAATCTTGCCTTTTCCCAGAAGATTTTACTCCACCCCCAAATGCACACAACGTAGGCTCACCAGGTTTTTGAAGAGCGCAGTGAGCTCCTTGGTGAAGACGGAGAACTTGAGGAAAGCTGAACCCAGATCAGGATCGTCTCTGTACACGCAGTTCTCTCCAAACTTCTCCAGGGCCTGAGTGTACTGCTCCTCGTTCTCTACATGCGCTGAAACACACACACACACAGAGGTCAGCTTGGATGGGCTAGTGTAATCAAACTAAGGGCTTTCACTTTCATTGTTACAATTCAATAAACAATCTCTGGGTATGAATAATGGATGGTGGTCTTCTAGGAGGCCAAGATTTTCCGGCTGCCTGATCCTCCCATTACATTTTAAGGTTTGCTTCTGCACACAAGTGATTGTTTGTATATTATATTTGATATTTGAGTGTAAGAAAATCTTCTGGAATAAGGACAATGAGGTGAGGAGTCTCTTCTATACAATGCTGCAGTAAACGCTGGAGTTTTCTCATGCAGCTTAATAATAGCTGCATATAACTTAATAATAATAAATAAAAAAATATCAAACATTATTATAGATGTAAACTTATGTGGGAATTAAGAATCCTGCATCACTGACTGGTTCAACTAGTTCTTCTGACCATCACCAAGAAAATAGTCATGAAGTTGATTAGTAAGCCAACAGAAAGTTATTTGACGACAATCTTGATGGTGAAGGAGGTGAGGTGAGAAAGGTAATTTGTATATACTTTTATGCAAAGTTTAAATGGCTATGATCCTAATATTTCTACCTCAAATAGCTTCTGCACCCTTACCCGTATTTGTGATAAAAACACCAGAGGTAGAAGAATATTTTGAACCTCACTTTATTAATGATTGTACTGAGAGAGGTGAAGACAACTCTCAGAAGTGACAGGCAGGGACAGAGACAAACAAGTGACGGTAAAAGAAATGTAAAGACAGGAAGAGGAAAAAAAATATATACAGATTTAACCCCCAAACTCTAAAATAACCCCAGTCAGTTACCAGTGATGGGGAACCCATAAAGCAGCTGTGACAGAAGTCTCCCAGCGTGTCTAAAGTCGACCTAATCTACCACCGGGCTAGGCCTAGAATGATTCCACTTAATTCACTTCACGCCAGGGTAGGCAGCTGATAACAGCTAATGCCATCGGGACAGCAGCGGAGGGATGGGGCACTGGGGACTGTTGCTATGACAACAATCACTAAGAGACAGAAAAGGATTTGAGGGTGGCGTGAAGAAAGGACTTAAGGAAAAAAGAGATGTCGGTAAAAGACACCTGCTGCTGCCACATCACACACACACACACACACACACACACACACACACACACACACACACACACACACACACACACCACACACACACACACACACACACACACCACACACACACACACACACACACACACACACACCACACACACACACACACACACACACACACACACACACACACACACACACACATCACACACACACACACACACACACACACACACACACACACACACACACACACACACACACACACCACACACACACACACACACCACACACACACACACACACACACACACACACACACACACACACACACACCACACACACACACACACACACACACACACACACACACACACACACCCACACACACACACACACCACACACACACACACACACACACACACACACACACACACACACACACACACACACACACACACACACACACACACACACACACACACACACACACACGGGGGGAGATAACGAGCAGCGACAGGATTCGCAGATGTGTCAGGTTTGTTGGTGAAGCTGGATAAGCTCATGTCTCTGCTGCAGAGATATCCATCATGTTATTAAAAGGGGAAAGCTAAAAGCTTCTGAGTCACTACCTGCCGACCTCCTCACATCAGACAAATCTAATTTAAACCGCAGCTGAGCTGATGATAAAGCTCCGACAAGACTCAGCACACAAGTGGTAAATGAGGGTTTTGAACAGCTGCTACTACAAAGTACCTGAGATAGTGTCTTTTTCCCACTGCCTCGAGAACACAGACAATAAAGTTCAATTGAGTGGTTAATGGTTTAGTCTTAAAAAATATAGTATATGTGAAGTTGCATTGAAAAGAAAATACACACCCAATTATTATCACTCAGTCATAGTGAACCTTAAACTAGTACTAGTAATTAAGTAAGTTATTTTTTAAGAAGCTTTAAAAACATAAATATTTGTCGTCTAGACTTTTAGTAAATAACCTACAGTATCTTTGGGAGATAGTTGTTGGGCCAAAACAAGCATTGCATCTTGTTGACGCAACAATTCATAGATTAATGACATTTTAAATAAGCCTTATAAAACAGCTTGTGGTTCAAAGCAGTGAAATGAGTCGCACATATAATAAACTTTAAAAGTGTGTTTTCTGTCAGACACAGAACCTGACCACACACTCCACTGTTTACATATCAGCTCCAGCTGTTTGGCTGCGGCTCAGTTGTTTTTGAAGTGGCACATGAGCGCCGACTAACTGCCCAATCTACCCCCGGCTGCTTCGTGATGTAGTACATGTGTATTTATTGAAACATGACCTAACGCATCACAAATGCAGTCTGCAGAGCAGCTTCAACCCAAAAAAAGAGTGCATTACACGCCAAAATATGTATGTTCTTTACTCTAGTAAAAACCAAACCAAGAGCAGTGACACCGAGGGCAGAGGCAGCCTTTGCTTTAGTTTACACTGTAAACAGAACCTGCTAATTCAATGCGGTTCAACATGTTGCCTAAACATTTTCAGTACATTAACCTGATATTCTTAAAGAAACATTGTCTTTGCATGCCAACAAGTATTGACTCCGAAAACTACCCCCTCTTCTGTAACCTTTTGTCAATATTTCATGCCATTTATAAACGCTGAACACCCACCTCTTGTACCATTTTGATGCTTAAAATGCTTACAACAAATCTATAAATAACTGTGGCACATTGTCATCAGACATCACTGTCAAGCATTACTTTATGCGACCATTTGTGAGGATCCCAAACTTCAAATTTGAGAACTAGTGAACTACTACTGAAAGTGTCTTAAGGCACGGGTAGCATAAAACCATCTACTTATTTTGTTACTGACAACATCTTAGTTTAGCTGATCTTCCCAGATTGCATTGTTTTTCTGGAAATTAATAATTAAGCCTATTCTTAGCATCTGAGAGCTCATTTATTTAACTAGTAAGAGTTCCTCTGCATTTACTTGTACTAGTAATAGGTTTTACTTTTATACATGTGGTTACGTTCATTACAATTTTACATATTTTCTCTTGAAATTAAACTTTGTAAGTGGGTTTTGGCCCATCTAAAGGGTAAGAGATATACTTAAAAATGTTTGTTTGGCACTAAGTGTAAGACACAGAGAGACACAAAAAAAAGATTCCTGTTGCTTGACCTCGGGAAATGATAACCTTGTGTTAGCTGAAGGACAGAGGCCATGATGACGTTGAACACAGACAAAAACACACTTTTCCACCCGGCAAAAATGACTTTCTCATACACAGTTGTTAACCTCCTTTACAGTATCTTTACGGTTAAAAAACACAATAGAAAGTTTCTATGTCCCTGCTGAGGCTTATCTGACATCCAATAGGTTTGTTTCTCTACTTTTTCTATCTTTCTTTCTCACTCACAAACAAACAGTGACAGACAGGGTTTAATCACCAGATAGCAGACTGGTCTCTGCTTCCTCTCTCCAACATTCATTCGCTCACACTCTGTTCTGACGGGTCAACGTTTGACGCTCACACAACATATGGCCGAGCTCATATCAATTCCATATCTCTCTACGAACTCTATAAAAAAAAAAAACACTTGAACCCTCATTGACAATATGGGCACATGTAATATTCCATTATTATTCAGAAATGTGACAATATTCCAAATGAGATATGGGTCATGTTAACACCATATTCCACTTAGACATTCCTGTATTAGGGCCTTATTCCAATTGCATAATTTCTGATCAAGACAAGATATTATTCAGGATTAAGAAACATGTGTAGAGCGCATTCGGTATATGCATCTCAATTGGGGGTTCTCCAAGAGCTTTGCCACAAACACACCACATTTCTGGTCAAAGGAGATACATACTTGAATTATTATGCCAGAGTTGGATGTCAACAGGTTTTTAGATATGTGCAAATATTAAAAGAGGAAGGCTGTGTTTGCAGTGTCGAGCCCAAATTGAAAACATGCTATATTTCATTAGCCGTGAAAATAGCTAAGAAAACATATTGCCTTATTTAGAGAAATGTAAAAAAAAGTCAAACATTTTCTTCATTTAAACAGTCAGTTACTTTGCAGGCAAGAAATAAATATACGAGTGTGCAGCCGTAACTTAAAAGACATGCCAGCCATCAGTTTGAGTGTTTTCCTGACGCAACATTGTCAGGTGCTGCATTATTCAGGACCTCCATCCAGCCCTCCTGCCCACCTATAGGTCTGCCTCCAGTTGTTATCTGTTCAGCAGCTTTGGCACGTCTGTCCGAAGAGCTCTGCTGCAGGTTCTTCAGCGGTTTGAAATGCTGCTGCTGCTGCTGGTTTATTCATCAAAACCAAAAATCTGACAACCTGACAGGCCCCTGCAGCAACATGGGGCTCTCTCGCTCATCTGTGCAGCCATTCCTGTATTTTCCCATCTCTTTAACTGGCAATTCCAATTTTTTTTGTATTCACTGCTACACAATTAGATTGCTTGCTCAGCATCTCTGGTTGTAACCATTCCAACGACACCTCCATCTTCCTCCCTATCCTCTCCTCCTCATCATTACTATTCCTCACAGCTGAAAACATGCTTCCAGGGTTTGGGCTCGACAGCCTGTCATACCTACAGTTTATCTCTGAGTATTGAGGCAGTGAGTGTTGAGGCTCCCTATTGTGTTTCTTATTATCCAGGATTTGTCACGCATCATCTCTGAAGAACATGCTTTCACTCTCTTTCTTTACGGTTTGCTTTAGGTACTGTGTAACAGCTGCTTAATGCGTGTCAGCAGCAACAGTAAGTATAGGTTGTCTTTCCTTTCTGTAATTGCAAAGCACATTTTCCTTGGGCAAATACAGTTGTCATCTAATTTAGTAATACATTTTACCTGCATGATTTTTAAAAGGTAAAGGGATATTTTTGACTGCCAATATTATTTCTTGACGGAAAGATGCTGAAACACAATTGAGCTGAAACTATCTCTACTTCTGTCAGTACCAGCAACCCCTTTCACATTAAAAATAACTTGATCAGCTGTTGACATACAACTATTATATTGTTGCTACTGTATCTGCAGTAAATTGTCTTTAGCAGCAGACTTTAATCTATATTTGGAACATGCAGTATATCTTAACCATGTGATTTCTACCAAGTACCCTACAGGGCATGAAACAAAAGGGCTCCATAGTGTCGTCTTGTTTGTTTTCAAAAAAGATCAGAGTCTGGCAGAGATTCCCTTGGAGAACTGTGAATGACAGCATTCCCACTTGCCTTTCCACAGATAATACAGTGTGTCTATTGTAGGGCTGTGCAATTAATCGTATTTTAATCTCGATTACGATTTTGGCTTGCAACGATTACGAAAACAATGTAATCGAAATAAAACGATTATTATTTTTATTAAAAAAAAAAAAAAAAATTTAATTTCTTTTTTTTTTATTGGTTTTTCTGTTGAATTATACTTAAAGTTCAGGGTAATCAACTGTTAAAAACATACTGTTCAACATTTTTTTTTTCAATATATGGATGTTTTCAAAGTAAATGGATAATCGTTTTTAATAATCGTGATATCAATTATTGACCAAAATAATCGTGATTATGATTTTTGCCATAATCGCACAGCCCTAGTCTATTGTAAACACTGATCTGGACAAGCTTCACACTTTGAGGCAAAAATGTGCTTTCTCACAATTCTTTCGACAGCAAAAATACTGCCTGAAACACTGGATAATGTCATACAGGTCTACCTTCCTGCAATAAAGTATAGATTGAAATGAAGGTTATATATATATATATATATATATATATATATATATATATACGGTATAAACAACAGGTACATTTAATCTGGTAGCTGAATGGGAAAACACATACTGACTCACAATACCAGCCTTTTATGTCATGGGATAACAAAATAGAGGTTCTTGTAGCCACCAAAAGGCACTTCATATATGTAAATGCTGGGTGAGGTGTGTCCATGCCTCAGCACCCACACACAAAACGCAGCGTGTACCCCTCCCCAGCTGTTCCTTTGGGGGTCTGGATCAGACAGCTGCCCCTCTGAACAGAGCTCACACTGTTCTGAAAAAGACATGCTCAGCACATTGTTCAGAGGTCCCTCTCTCTCTCCCTCTCTCTCTCTCTGCGGGGAACTGTCAGGCCGGCCAAACAAAAGACACTGGAAACACCCGACACTGGCCCAACCAGCCACAATGAGCACGGTAATAATAACACAAAAACTCTCCCCCCTAACTCTAACTCCAAGGCAGTGGAACAAATGCATTATGGATGCATTCAATTAATATTTTCAAATGTTTATCCATTTTGCATTTGAGTTTTTACCTCATTATACTATGTAAAAGACATATAAATAGAATAAAACATAAAAAATAGCTGAGTATGCTAATTCTGTCCAGCAGCCACTAAACCCCAAACTCAAAGAGATACATTCATTGATAAAGAGATATCAGAAATATGATAAATCAATGTCTTGAAGTGACATCTTTAAAGGCTTCTGACTGAAGTGAAAGATAAGAAAATGGAAAGCCAGACATAAAGAACAGACAGGAGGACTCACCCAGACCAGACGTGTAGATGGCCTTCACAGATTTCTTCATCTTGTACAGAACACTGCGGTCCACGTCCAGCGCCTGCAGACAGACACAAAGAGTCAGAGGCTGAAATGTCACCACTCAACTCAGTGTAGATTTACTACTTCAATTAATTACTTTAATTTACTTAGCATATTTCAAGAAGATTAAGGAAATGTATATTACATTACATTACATGTTACTTGTTAGACGCTTTTATCCAAAGCGACTTACATACTCAATACTGTGGGCAATCCCCACAGGAGCAATTTTGGGGTGAAGTGTCTTGCCCAGGGACACAACGACATGCTGACTGCAGTGGGGTTTGAACCTGTGACCCCCTGATCCGAACATCTACATGTACACACAACCCACTGCGCCACACGCCATTTCTTTAAATAACGCTTGTTGTCATTTTCCTGACACTTCTTCCAATTAACGTTACTTGGTAGCGAGCCAGCAATGTATGAGTATGACATCCACATTTTATATTCCACCTATAAAGCTTTGATTTGGTGACCTGAGCACAAAACAAGAACTGTATGAGATGTACGCAGCGATTTATGGGTGTAGAAACAGGTTAGTATTCTGATACAACAGCTCTGCAGTGATACTGTAAATCACCTTTGTATGGATGATAATGTTCAGAGTGTGTGTGTGTTTGTGTAGCGTACGTGACTTAGTGCCATCTCCATTCGAAATGAATTATTCAAGGGAAAGCTAAAAATAGACCATATCCATCGTCAGTTATTTTGTGTGTGTGTGGCAAATGAAAAGCAGAGTCATGATGGACAGTAGCATCAGTAGCACACGCACACACACACACACACACACACTGGGAGTCCAGCTGAGACAATGCAGCACTGTAGCGGTGATGAGTGAGGGAGTCTCTGGGGGCGAGGGGGATTTTGGGATATTAGTTTTTAGGGACTTTATTAAGCACGTCCGCCCGAGCTGGCCAAAGTCGGCGCCACTTTTTCCTGCTCTGCTCCCCAACTGACTGAAACACATGAGATCCCCAGACTCTCTGAAACAAAAACACACAATGGCCCCCATTCAAACACACCAATACTGTACACACCCACACTGCACTGCAACACCACTGCATGCGATGACAACATGTATTACATCCATAAATCTGTGCTGTATTTAAAATCCTAGTTATGAGCAATTGCAAAATGGAAGAACTATTCAGAACTTAGTTTTCCCATGGGTCATATTTCACTCACACACATACTTGCAAAAACACATAATGGAACAGAGAGAGAGACAGACAGGCATGACTTTAAAGGATAACTGACACATAAATCAAGTGCCAATGGTAGAGAGGCAGGCAGAATGAAAAAATAATAAAAAAAGCATTGACAATATGCCCTAAGACATTGCAGATGGATCATCATCTACAAGCTGATCCACAGCATTTTATTGTGGAGTCGCCTTTTTCAACTACATATTCTTTAAATATAAGGCTATTGGCTGAGGTGAAAGTGTAAACAGCCATGCATTTCCTACATTTATTCAGTTTTAATCGGTCTTATTCACCTCAGCAGTTACGTTTTACACCTTGGGAAAAGTAGAGACAAAACAAACTAATCAGTCACAAGAAAAAACTCAAGGCTGAGCTGCAATTCAGTCAACAGCTGATTATTGGATTGATAACCACCAGCTGCTGGAGAGACATTTTACCCAATTTGACATTTTCTGAAATACTTTTTGACATACACAGTAGTGAAAGGCACACAAAAACTCAATTCAGATGCTTCAGTCTCAGAGTCTTGGTGGCTTGTGATTTTAAAACTGTTATTAAAACAGAACCATTGTTAATGTTTTTAGTAACACCTGTGCTTTTCCTGCTATGAAAGGCAAATTGTCCCCAGTGAAAATATTTCAGAGCCTGCATCAAGTTTGGACAAAAATTGCCCACCTCATTTATGTTGCTCAACAAACTGTGTCAAACATAATGTTAAAACATAAAAAGAGAACAGCACCATTACTAGTATTACTTCAAAATGTTTCATATATTAACAAGGCTTTTGGCAGTGATCGCAAAATATCGTTGCAGTTCGTTACAGTTTTATTCCAACTGGATCCAAATCTGAAACAATTCAAACTAACACCTTAAAACAAATGTACTATAACCAAAATGACAAAAACCAGAGCAGGAACCGTTTCCCAACAAAGGTTTTTACGAAAACAAACTTCCAGACAGTAGTATAGTAGTAAAAGTAACATGCTAAAAATAAAATCTGATGTCTTATGGGAACTGTGCAAATTAAATGAAGCCGACCAGAAGCTGCTTGTTCCTCTGAGTCAAAGTAAGACTTACAGCGATGTGGTTTTAGTTAATTCCAATGTTGTAAAATGACTCGTGTTACATATGCTATTATCCTATTAACTGTAGCTGAGACCCCACACAGCCATACTGTTAAACAGGTACTCTCAAAACAGGCAGAGACACAGTGAGAAAAAATACAGCTGCAGAGTACTATCTTTGTCTACACCGCCAAACCAATCCAACCACACACAGACTTTTAAAGGGTAACTGGAGACAGCCACCGAGTGTTTTCTTAGCAGAGCTGATACCACTCTGCTCTCTACGTTCAATCTACTCCCAGGACTCAAAGCTAACGCCTTGAGAGCATTTCTGCTGGTAGCCGAGCTTCTGTCAGACAGTAGAAGGCTTGACAGTGGATCTACATTTAAAATAAGAGTTAAGTGTACAACTTAGGATCAAATACAATATTTCACTGGATGTGTACATCTCTTTATACACTTGTCTTTCACAGAATAAGATCTCTCCTTTGTTTCAGTTTTGCTGGAAGCAATTTCTAAATGAGCCCATAAAACCTTTATTTATCATTTATTGATTGACTTTTTGATGATGTGATGATGATGTTTTTGGTACTGAGGATAAGAGGTCAAACAAGGGTGAGCTACTAAAGTCGAAGCATGTAACGGTGTTTGTATAAAAGACATCAGACTGTCTTGTGTGTGTTTCATCATGCATTTTATAATTTCATAAGAGAAATGCAAAATAGTTTCGAAACCAATCTGTAAATGTGGCTTTCTGTTAATAGCTGTTTTTGCTCAAATATTGGTAAATGCAAGTCACAGATTATTGTAGCTAGCATGACATCACGGAGTTTATACACAGATATGATAAATCAGGCGGTAAATAGAAACGCAGCACTCTGACCAGCTCATCTGGGCTCCCTGGAAGCAGCATTGATGTTTTTGTGGAGGAAGACAAGCCAAATGGACAAAAGATTTATAGTAAGCTGTTCACTTTGTGAGTAAAGCTTTTGATGCATATGCTGCAGCAACAGTCAGTTTCATGTTACTGCTTTGGTAAGAGAGGTTCTTTATCGGCTACATGCAGCACACTGCAACTGTTCAACCCTTTTTGATTGGTTGATTTACATTCAAATCACCACAATTTATCCTTATAATGTCATTATCATGGGCTGCCTTGTGATCCAAAATGTGACATGTGAATTTTCCAAAATAGGCTTGAGTTAAAACAGAGCATGTCATATTGTTAACCGTGTCTACACAATCGCCAGATAAGCAACTTTAAGAGGCCAACCTTTGCCACATTCCAATTCTATACTAGGTACGAATAGAGCATTTGGCGTTTATAGTATTTCCACACTTTTGAAAATGACAAATTCGATTTGATTAAAAGCTTCTTACTTTCAAAAGCGTGCCTTGGATCGTTCTGTTATGCACTTAATCTGCTTGATGCAATGCTTAAAAAGGAGAGAGGAACTACTAACAGCTGAAAAATAATAATACAAAAGCAGATGCTGGTGAAACGGCTCCCAGCAGAGTTTGGAAAATAAAACACTTTCATATGTTTGCTTGGCAGAGGCTTTTTTTTAGAAATTCCCAGTTTGGCTCACATGCGTTGGTGCACATTTCCCTTCGGTATAGAAAGGTGAATGATCAAGACTTAGTGAGTACACTGTCTACTGACACATTGGTAGACCTAAGCCTCTGGTTGACCTCCACACGACGTCAGTAATCAGCCTGCGAATCAGTTTGATCAGTTTAAGCCTTACATGCATATTGACACTTAATCAGGCGGTATCACGCTCCAGCAGACCCTTTCAATATTCACAGAGTGGTCCGACGGGAGAAAGAGGCGAGACAGGTGGGGGGCAGACAGGCGGGCTAATAAACCAATCGCAGCTGAACACAACAAACACACTGCTCTAAATCATTCACACTCAGATGACAGTCACTTTCACACATTTCCCCCTCCAACGTGCTCTCCAGGGTTCAGCAGAGTGACTCTTCCCCAAGCACCAGGCCACTCTACATGCGAGAACTCTTGTTAGACTTTTTGAACCCAACAAATGTCAAAGCAAGAGGGACTTCCACTGTACTGTGTAGCGATTTAGCAGCACTGGATCAGAGCTGCATCCTCACACAATAGAAACAGCCTCTGAGCTGCCTCACAAGCACTGTACATTACATTACTGCAATGTCAGCATTTTTCCTCTCCTAATAGGCACTCAAAGTAAAAGGAACCAGAGTGGCTCTTCTTTCCCTTTACAGCCGCTGACTAATCTTTTTGGAAGGAGGAGAAACTCCCACATGATCCAAAATTATTAACCGCCTTAATGCATTACATCATCTTGCCATCATCATCATCATCATCATCATCATCTGGATTATTATAAGGCACCATCTGCTGCCAGCCAATCTGCAGAGACTACCACAACACTGCAGGGTCATGGGGGTTGTCGCCACATTGATTCGTTCACTTATGGTGATGCATTTTTCCAAACAGTGGAGCAACGTGTATAAGGTGACTGATATCTGTGAGCACAGCACAGAGATAGTATCTTATGTGTTGACATTGACAAAAAAAGCAGGAAAGGGCTCACATTAAACACAAAGAAAACACAAAAGATAGCAGCTTGCCTCTCAACACAAGAATATGACAGCTCAGTCGTTCTGAATGAGAAGGTACTAGGGCTTTGTATTGGCAAGAGTCTGTCCATATGATATCATGATGAAGGGAAAATATATATTTCAATACTGTAAGGCTATAA